ACACTGAGGTGGATATGGGATGAACACACACACACACACACACACACACACACACTAGACTGCAGCCAACTGAGGGGAGGGAGATTCATTGGGCACCATCTGGGTTTCTGCCAGTGCCAACATGGCACAGGCCAAGCCATGGTGACCACACAGCTGGTGCCAGTCCTGACAGAGCAGAGCTGCAAGGTGGTAGTAGCATGGCCTTGGTCCAGCTGAAGGGGGAGAGAGGAGAGAGGAGGGCAGGCATGGAATGTGCTGCTGAGAGTCCACTGCACAACGCAGAAAACACCATTGTTTTCTTATTTCTGATATTACTGTAGAATAACATGAGAAGATTGGATTGGATGAAATATAAACATAATATACCTCTAATTTTCACTAGTTAAGGTTGGGAGAAAGAGACGTCATCCCACCTTGCCTGTTAGGCGATGTAATGTAAATGTGTTACTGTGCTGCGTCCTCAGATTATCCCAACGGGGATGCAGGGACCCGTCCCCAGGGCCAGCCCAGGTTGACCTGAGGTCCAGACAGCCCTCAGCCCAGGAGAGGGAGAGGAGGAGGCCCTCAAATAGGAGAGACTTTGAGGATGTAAGTCTATTCCAGAGAAGAGAAGAGCCTGTTGCTTCAGTTGAGTCATCAACACATAATTACAGTGCCACTTCAACAGCATTAACAATCTGAGACAAGTACACATTTTCTCTGTAGTCTGTACTAACCCGTTGTGCTGTACTGAGAGATGTTTCTATGCTGTGGTCCAGGACATGGTGACTGCTGGTGGTCAGAGGGATGACGAGGGCCAACCGGATGTCCAGTCTCTGTTCTCTGTGACAAGCCTGTACGTGGAGGGTACCGCAACAAGAGACGCATCGGCTGATTGGATGACCTCAATGCAACGCCCACGACTGGAGATCAGGTGAGAGAGACGGGGAGTGACCTATGACATCACGTCTTTGTGGTAGAATGACGAGGTTGGGTGTAAGAAGGTCTCAAATTATTCACTGCTGCAACTAAATATAGGCTTTTTGATAGAATAAATTACATGAGAAATGCAAATGTAGGTAACCCTCCACCTACCATGGATGACCCCTTTCATCTACACATCCCATTCCCTTCATAGCTTACTACTTTTGACTAGAGTTTTAGGTCTATATTTTATATGCAGTCGATCCCCAATACAAATTTAACAAAATTAACATGGTCTATTTCTGTGTCTGCATCAGAAGAGAGCAAAAAACATCCATGTTTGTGTTTTTACGCAGAAAAAAAAGATGTAGCTTATGCATGTGTGAATTGTTTAATCTACACAGCCACCAGGGCAGACGTCCAAATGGAGATGAGGTAGTAGCAGAGATATTTCAGTCTCTGTATACAACAGTTCCATGTAGTGAGTAGGAGCAGGGTAGCATCAGAGGGTGGGGGAAATCTCAATTGCAGACTTCTTGCGTTCTCTCTTGTCGCCTCCTTCAAAAGAGAAGGTCCGAGGGGTGGGACCTCTGGCTTTCTCATCCAATGGGTTTTGAGAAGGAGACAGGACGCGAGGAGTTTGCAATTGAGATTCTCCCAGTCTGCTTGGCTCAGTGTGCAGCCAGTACACAGTGAAGAATTACACTGGGCTCTGAGCTGCATCACTCTCACTGCTGTGTGAAATGGTTACAGCTACAGGAGTAGGACTACAGTATGGAAGTATAGGCTCTTGTCTGCTGATGTAAGTTACTATGGTAACCTTTTCAATGTACTTTGGCAGAATTTAAAACAGGTGAAATGTGAATCTGGTGTTGAAATGTTTGTATGTAGCAAGTAAAGATGTGTTAATGTACAGTATAGAAAGATTTGGGGTTTAATTTTTATTTGTATAATCTTGCCTTTGTCCAGACTGGTCCTTTCTTTTTAAGACAGACTCATTTAGTCCAATCAAATAGCAAACAAATCAAGTTCAAAAACTTTATTGACCTATAACCTGATTACAATGTCGGATGATGACGTTTTGTACAGGAAGTTGTACAGAAGTCTTTTTTCAACATAGAAAACTTTACATTTCTGTACCATATACATTTTGTTTTCTACATCCGTGAGCAAGGAATACATCCGATCCACACATCATCCAGAAGTCTTCTTTTAAAGCACAGCTAACATTCTTTATTTAATCTATTCATTCAGCATGTCCCCAAACCAAAGAAAAAAGAAAATTAAATATATTATTAATTTATTCAAATTTTTACACAGTGAAAACTAACTTCAAACATAAACATGCCTTTGACTCAGAAGCAGCTCACATCAGGGGCCTATTCAGAAGCATTGCAGATAGAAATGTTGTATATAGAGCAGATAATTCCTTGTATTACATGACAGAAAATCATATCTACATTTCTAGCTGAGCGTTGTGTAACGTTGCAACCTCCTGAACAGGCCCCTAGTTGCTCTTTTTCCTTCCAGTTTTAGGAAGAGCCCAGTTATCGACTATCAGTTAAAAAACCTCAGAACATATAAATTGAATATTTTAACCCTTCACGTTCTGTTGTGTCGTCGTTCAATTACAAATCTCATATAGGACAATCTGCAGGAGAAATGGTTCAGTCAAATAAATTATCACAAAAGTAAAAATCTCCAGTGTATTCAATAATGAGATCAAGGCCTAGATTCAATCAGATCAGCGTTAACAGGCGATAGCAGACACCCGCATAGCGGATGTTTTGGCGGTGTCTGAGGTAGAACTGCGTTGGAGCCGACAAATCGGTGAGCAGCTGCTCTTGCGATCATTGCCATACCCGCCCCACTCACGTTAGTTCAGAACGAGAAAGTGTAGACTATATAGAAATAATCTAATTAAATAATTAGGATTTATATCATCCTAATCTAGGTGTACATTCCATCTCACATTCCAGTATTTCAACTTGTAAGCAGGGCTGCATGGGATTTCTGTTCATGCGACTCCATGCAGCCAATGGCAATGTCCGCTTTAGATATAATGCCAGGAGCCACTTGCGGATTTCACAGCTCTAATGCAGTTCCACCTCCGACACAGTCAAAACAACCGCTATGCAGATGTTGGCTAAAGCGGATCTGATTGAATCGAGCCCCAAGTGCAGCAAAATCCAGTGAAAAACTAAACAAAACACAGAAATCAAATCTAGTGTTGTCAGATTATATTACAAAGCGCCATTTCTGTACTTAGTTTTTTCATCCACAAGGCGATTGGCGCTAACGTTAGCCATCAGCGGTGCAGCCAGGAAAATATCAGAATTATCATCGAGTAACAAATGTCACATTTCATATCACTGAATGTTCGTCAATTGCATTGCATGATGTACGTGTAGCCATTTTATTCTCTAGAATCGCTTTTAAGGATACAGTAATGTCAAGAAGCAGACCCGTTTTAAATATATTTTGACTCTTCTGAGTGATAGTTATTCTGCAGTTGTTGGAGAATCAGATCTTCATGTACAAGGCCAAGCCATTTTTCCACGATATGAGGGGCTTCGGGGTAGAAGTTGCCCATAGGATCTAGGATCAGTTTGACCTCCCAATATCCTAACCTTAACCATAAGGGGGGAATGCAAAAACTGTCCTTAGATCAGCGTCTACGGGCAACTTCAACCTACTCTGATTCACTACATGGCCAAAAGTATGTGCATCCGTTGCTGACAGGTGTATAAAACCAAGCCATGCAATCTCCACAGACAAACATTGGCAGTAGAATGGCCGTACTGAAGAGCTCAGTGACTTTCAACGTGGCACCGTCATAGGATGCCACCTTTCCAACAAGTCAGTTCGTCAACTGTAAGTGCTGTTATTGTGAAGTGGAAACGTCTAGGAGCAACAACGGCTCAGCCTGAAGTAGTAGGTCACACAAGCTCACAGAACGGGACCAACGAGTGCTGAAGCGCGTAATGCGTAAAAATCGTCTGTCCTCGGTAGCAACACTCATTACCGAGTTCCAAACTGCCTCTGGAAGCAACGTCAGCACAATAACTTTTTGTTGGGAGCTTCATGAAATGGGTTTCCATGGCCGAGCAGCCATACATAAGCCTAAGATCACCATGCGCAATGCCAAGTGTCAGCTGGAGTGGTGTAAAGCGCGCCGCCATTGGACTCTGGAGCAGTGGAAACGCGTTCTCTGGAGTGATGAATCACGCTTCACCATCTGGCAGTCCGACAGACAAATCTGGGTTTGGCGGATGCCAGGAGAACGCTACCTGCCCCAATGCATAGTGCCAACTGTAAAGTTTGGTGGAGGAGGAATAATGGTCTGGGGCTGTTTTTCATGGTTCGGGCTAGTCCCCTTAGTTCCAGTGAAGGGAAATCTTAACGGTACAGCATACAATTACATTCTAAACGATTCTGTGCTTCCAACTTTGTGGCAACAGTTTGGGGAAGGCCCTTTCCTGTTTCAGCATGACAATGCCCCCATGCACAAAGTGAGGTCCATCCAGAAATGGTTTGTCGAGATCTGTGTGGAAGAACTTGACTGGCCTGCACAGAGCCCTGACCTCAACCCCATCGAACACCTTTGGGATGAATTGGAACGCCGACTGCGAGCCAGGCCTAATCGCCCAACATCAGTGCCCAACCTCACTAATGCTCTTGTGGCTGAATGGAAGCAAGTCTCCACCACAATGTTCCAACATCTAGTGGAAAGTCTTCCCAGAAGAGTGGAGGCTGTTATAGCAGCAAAGATGGGACCAACTCCATATTAATGCCCATGATTTTGGAATGAGATGTTCGAAGAGCACTTGCCCACATACTTTTGGCCATGTAGTGTTTATGGGAGTGGGCATTTACTGTCACATGACCAGTCAGGTTCACAGTAGAGACACCTTGGAGTTTCCTGTACCGTTAGTTGGGGATTCTGGGTAACTGCCAAATCCAGAGGGGGTGAAGTTTGGACAGCTGCACCCTTCATAGTACCCCAGGGGGTGGGAGACCATAGTCCTAAAGGGTTGGTAGACAAACCCAAGGCAAGAGGGGAGGAGGACTTCCAGAGCTCCAGGCTTCCCTATTCAGAGGTCTCGCAGCCAGCCCGCTACAAGTGCACCATCACTGGACTTCCTCTCCAGCCACCTCCCCCCTCTCCACCTCAACTTCCAGCTCTGGTTCTGGTTCTGCAGGTGGTTCCTTTTCTGTTCTGGCTGGGAGGTGTCAGGCAGCGGGGCGATCTGGAACACGATGCCGATGCGTAAGTAAAACTTCCGCAGCACGGCCCGCAGTTCTGGGATTAGATCAACCTGCATGATCTCACACAGCAGAGGATAGTACCTGGATGCATGGGCCTTGAACTGTGGAAAAAGAGATAGACATAAAACATCTTCATACAGATTCATATCCATACAAAGACGTGGTTAGGTCTTCTTGAACATGTCGCTGACAATGACTTGACCAAATCAGTGGCCTGTCTGAATATTGTTAATGGTTGAGATCCTTACCCTGTCGTCACTGATCTTCAGGACCTTGGTGAGGAAGAGGAGGAGCAGGTTGGTCCAGGCTTCTCTGTGGCTCTCTGATGTTAGAGTCAGGAAGTAGGCTACTGCCTCACTGCACACCCTAGAGGGAAAGAGGGAGAGATCTTGATAAAGTGACTCATTGTCCATATGAAAACTGTTCAGTGACACAGAATTAAGATGCGATTCACTCATTATTTAGCAGCAAGACTAAATTCACTGCCAACATGAAATTGTTTTACTCCACACCAGCCACAGGGAGAGGAGCAGCTGTGACTTAAGCATTGCACCTCTAACCCTCACCCTGGACCTTTCCTCAAACAGAACCTCCATCTGCCAGCCCTTCATCTCTCCCTCCCTCCCGTCCCCTCATCTCCTCCCTTCTTCACGGCTCCTTTACACTCCATGACCTAATCACCTCCCAAATCTGCTTAGCCCTCGTAAGCACCTTGCAGCATGTCTGCTGCCCTCTCCTCTAGCATGCCATGCTGTACTAGTGTGGTGTGTGTGCGTGCATGTTTGTGATAGTCCAGTCCGTGAGCTCTCACTCTCCCTCTCTGTCCCTCTCTCTCTTACACATGAAAGGACATATCAGAGACTGACAACCTAGGAGTTTCCTGCTAATACAGAGACTGTCTGCAATACAAAGTGAGTCTGAAAGACAAGACGATAGCTACTATGCGATACTGCAATAGAAAGACAAGGCGATGACAATAGACTGAGTAATAACAGCAACACAGAGTCTGTTTGTGGATCTATAGGCCTACTATCCATTCAGTTATTTCAGATATCTGTCACATTTAGACGAGCGCTCTGAATGTTTGGAGAGAGTGAGAGTCATCGACTGGAGATACAGCAACATCAACACAATCTGACTCAATCATTCTCTCTCAAGACCAATTAATTTTTATTCCCCTCCTGCTGTGGCGGATATTGATGTTTTGCGTTGGCGACTGTGACTTCTCTATTCCCTAGTTGGTGTAAACAGAGGCGTGAATGTCTCAGTCTCTCAAACAGCTGTGGTCAGGGTCAGGACAGAGCATAGCTGTCAAGATGAGTCTCCCCTCCCCCCACTCAATCCTGTTTCCTCTGTGATTACATGGACTGATCAATGCCCTCCCTCTCCCATCAGCCCTTCATAGATAGCAGTGTCTGACATGGCCTTGATTCCACCAATAATGAAAGTTGTTTATGCTGTTAGATACTGTAGATAGCTGCCTGCCTGGTTCTTAGTAATACTCCAGATATTCCATTTATAGGATTTAAATAAAAGTCATCATGTTTGCAGAGAATTCCACCCACGACAAAAAGCAGAAAATTAGTCATTAAATATTAGTGTAAATTAAAGCACATTCTGGGCATACTTCAGACATATGTGAAAATAATGCCCTTCGTATGACTGCCATTACACACAGCCCAATGAGGGAGGTTTGAGTATGTGGTGAGAGGATGATTAGGGATTGTCAAGGAACGGTGAAAGGCTCGTTAGTGAGAGGAAAGGAACAGAACAACAGGAAGCAGTAGAACAGAGCTGCAGATGATCATTAAGGGAGACTGTTACTCTGCTCATTTAAAGAATGTTGTTTTTAGTGAAATGAAGCTTAATCTGAAACTCTAATGACTTTCTATGGGCAGGTTGAGACAAAGGGACACAAAGCCAAGTGGAGATTAGCTGGAGATAAGGACAGTGTTTGGTGTGAGTTAGGAGTTATTGAGGTTTCCACTGGCAGTAATCAAGCTACCTATTCAAAGCAGCATTCAAGCAATTCCCTGAGTTTAGCCTTCAGTAAGTCTGGTATATGGCCAAGTGTATTGTTTGACAGCCTCCATTCAGTGATATGGTGGTGGGGGCATGGCAGCCCTTACTTACTTAAGCAGCCGTCTCTGGACCTCCTCCCAGGCGGTCTGACGGCTGTCATCAGTGTACATCCGGAACAGGATCCTTAGGCCACACGCCAGACTGCTGGTCTCCTGCTTCAGCAGATTGGGCTTCGACTTCCCTTTAAAACCTGGAACAGACAGACAGACAGAGAGAGAGAGAGAGCGGTTGCTGTCCGTTACAGCCACAGATGCCCATCAAAACTAGGGACGACAAACAGGGCATTGTTCCAATTGTTCAGAGAGTTCCATTTGGCTCCAGAACAGATATACCGTGCTTCCTGAGGAATCTTGAGATTCAGAACATCACTCTCCTACTTCATGTAATTCTTGGAGTTTCCTCAGGTGGTGCACTGCAGAGCCATATATAGACTATTCTCAGGTACACTGTACAGTGCATTCGGAAATAATTCAGACCCCTTGACTTTCTCCACATTTTGTGACGTTACAGCCTAATTCTAAAACCAATTAAATAAATAAAAATGCATCAATCTACACACAATACCCCGTAACGACAAAGCGAAAACATGTTTTTAGAAATATTTGCAAATGTATGTATTAAAAATAAAAAACAGAAGTACCTTATTTACATAAATATTCAGACCCTTTGCTATGAGACTCGAAATTGAGCTCAGGTGCATCCTGTTTCCAATGATCATCCTTGAGATGTTACTACAACTTGATTGCAGTCCACCTGTGGTAAATTCAATTGATTGGACATGATTTAGAAAGGCACACACCTGTCTATATCAGGTCCCACAGTTGACAGTGCATGTCAGAGCAAAAACCAAGCCATGAGGTTGAAGGAATTGTCTGCAGAGCTCCGAGGCAGGATTGTGTCGAGGCACATATCTGGGGAAGGGTACCAAAATATGTCTGCAGCATTGAACACAGTGGCCTCCATCATTCTTAAATGGAAGAAGTTTGGAACCACGAAGTCTCTGAATGTCCTTGAGGGGCCCAGCCAGAGCCCGGACTTGAACCCTACCTGAAAATAGCTGTGCAGCGACGCTCCCCATCCAACCTGACAGAGCTTGAGAGGATCTGCAGAGAAGAAACTCCCCAAATACAGGTGTGTAGAGCTTGTAGTGTCATACCCAAGAAGACTCAAGGCTTTAATCGCTGCCAAAGGTGCTTCAACAAAGTACTGAGTAAAGGATCTGAATACTTATGTAAATGTGATGTTTCCGTTTGTAATGTTTTATACATTTGCAAAAATGTTTTTGCTTTGTCATTATGGGGTATTGTGTGTATATTGATGAGGAAAAAAACTATTTAATCAATTTTAGAATAAGGCTGTAACGTAACAAAATGTGGAAAAAGTAAAGGGGTCTGAATACTTTCCGAATGCACTGTATATCTCAAATCAAATCAAATCAAATTTTATTGGCCACATGCGCCGAATACAACAGGTGCAGACATTACAGTGAAATGCTTACTTACAGCCCTTAACCAACAGTGCATTTATTTTAAATAAAAAAAGTCAAATAAAACAACATCAAAAAAAGTGTTGAGAAAAAAAGAGCAGAAGTAAAATAAAATAACAGTAGGGAGGCTATATATACAGGGGGGTACCGGTGCAGAGTCAATGTGCGGGGGCACCGGCTAGTTGAGGTAGTTGAAGTAATATGTACATGTGGGTAGAGTTAAAGTGACTATGCATAAATAATTAACAGAGTAGCAGCAGTGTAAAAAGATGGGGTGGGGGGGCAGTGCAAATAGTCTGGGTAGCCATGATTAGCTGTTCAGGAGTCTTATGGCTTGGGGGTAGAAGCTGTTGAGAAGTCTTTTGGACCTAGACTTGGCACTCCGGTACCGCTTGTCGTGCGGTAGCAGAGAGAACAGTCTATGACTAGGGTGGCTGGAGTCTTTGACAATTTTGAGGGCCTTCCTCTGACACCGCCTGGTATAGAGGTCCTGGATGGCAGGAAGCTTGGCCCCAGTGATGTACTGGGCCGTACGCACTACCCTCTGTAGTGCCTTGCGGTCGGAGGCCAAGCAGTTGCCATACCAGGCGGTGATGCAACCAGTCAGGATGCTCTCGATGGTGCAGCTGTAGAATTTTTTGAGGATCTGAGGACCCATGCCAAATCTTTTCAGTCTCCTGAGGGGGAATAGGCTTTGTCGTGCCCTCTTCACGACTGTCTTGGTGTGTTTGGACCATGATATTTCGTTGGTGATGTGGACACCAAGGAACTTGAAGCTCTCAACCTGTTCCACTACAGCCCCGTCGATGAGAATGGGGGCGTGCTCAGTCCTCTTTTTTTTCCTGTAGTCCACAATCATCTCCTTTGTCTTGGTCACGTTGAGGGAGAGGTTGTTATCCTGGCACCACACGGCCAGGTCTCTGACCTCCTCCCTATAGGCTGTCTCATCGTTGTCGGTGATCAGGCCTACCACTGTTGTGTCGTCGGCAAACTTAATGATGGTGTTGGAGTCGTGCCTGGCCATGCATCATGGGTGAACAGGGAGTACAGGAGGGGACTGAGCACGCACCCCTGAGGGGCCCCCGTGTTGAGGATCAGTGTGGCAGATTTGTTGTTACCTACCCTATACCACCTAGGGGCGGCCCGTCAGGAAGTCCAGGATCCAGTTGCGAGAGGGGAGGTGTTTAGTCCCCAGGATCCTTAGCTTAGTGATGAGCTTTGAGGGACCCTATGGTGTTGAATGCTGCAGCTGTAGTCAATGAATAGCATTCTCACGTAGGTGTTTCCTCTTGTCCAGTGGGAAAGGGCAGTGTGGAGTGCAATAGAGATTGTGCATCATCTGTGGACTTTTTTGGCGTTATTGCAAGACCGTAGGCCTACAGACGTCAGTGCTACGGTCGGTAGTCATTTAGGCAGTTATCTTACGTGTCCTTGGGCACGGGGACGATGGTGGTCTGCTTGAAACATGTTTGGTATTCAGACTCAGTCAGGACTGTTGAAATGTCAGTGAAGACACTTGGCCATTTGGTCAGCTCACATGCTCGGAGTACACGTCCTGGTAATCCGTCTGGCACCTGCGGCTTGTGATGTTGACCTGTCTTAAAAGTCTACTCACATCGGCTACGGAGAGCGTGATCACCATAGTCATCCGGAACAGCTGGTGCTCTCCATGCATGCTTCAGTGTTGCTTGCCTCAGCGAGCATAGCAAGTGGTTACCTCGTCTGTACGGCTTGTTCACTGGGAAGCTCGCGGCTGTCTTCCCTTTGGTAGTCTGTAATAGTTTTCAGCCCTGCCACATCCGGAGCATCATAGCGGGTATTACTATTCAATCTTAGTCCTGTATTGACTCTTTCCTGTTTTGAAGTTCGTCGAGGCAATCGCAATCTTATCTGTATTGACATAGCGGGATTTCTTATAAGCGTCCGGGTTAGAGTCCCGCTCCTTGAAAGCGGCAGCTCTACCCTTTAGCTCAGTGCGGATGTTTCCTGTAATCCATGGCTTCTGGTTGGGGTATGTACGTACGGTCACTGTGGGGACGACATCATCGATGCACTTATTGATGAAGCCAGTGACTGATGTGGTGTACTCCTCAATGCTATCTGAAGAATCCCGGAACATGTTCCAGTCTGTGCTAGTAAAACAGTCCTGTAGCTTAGCATCTGCGTCATCTGACCACTTTTTTATTAACCGAGTCACTGGTGCTTCCTGCTTTAGTTTTTGCTTATAAGCAGGAAGCAGGAGGATAGAGTTATGGTCAGATTTGCCAAATGGAGGGCAAGGGAGAGCTTTGTATGCGTCTCTGTGTGTGGAATAAAGGTGGTCTAGAGTTTTTTTTCCTCTGGTTGCACATTTAACATGCTGGTAGAAATTATGTAGAACGGATTTAAGTTTCCCCGCATTAAAGTCCCCGGCCACTAGGAGCGCTGCCTCTGGATGAGCGTTTTCCTGTTGACTTATGGCCTTATACAGCTCATTCAGTGCAATCTTAATGCCAGCATTGGTTTGTGGTGGTAAATAGACAGCTATGAAAAATATAGATGAAAACTCTCTTGGTAAATAGTGTGGTCTACAGCTTATCATAAGATACTCTACCTCAGGCGAGCAAAGCCTCGAGACTTCCTTAGTATTTGATTTTGTGCACCAGCTGTTGATTACAAATATACACAGACCGCCACCCCTTGTCTTACCGGAGTCAGCCGTTCTATCCTGCCGATGTAGCGTATAGCCCGCTAGCTGTATGTTATCCATGTCGTCGTTCAGCCACGACTCGGTGAAACATAAGATATTAAAGTTTTTAATGTCCCGTTGGTAGGATAACCGTAATCTTAGGTCATCCAATTTATTTTCCAATGATTGAAGATTGGCTAATAGGATTGATGGGAGCGGCAGTTTACTCGCTCGCCGTCGGATCCTTACAAGGCACCCCGACCTACGTCCACGATATCTCCGTCTCTTCCTCATGCGAATGACGGGGATTTGGGCCTTGTCGGGTGTCTGTAGGATATCCTTCGCGGCCGCCTCGATGAAGAAAAATTATTTGTCCAATACGAGGTGAGTAATCGCTGTCCTGATATCCAGAAGCTATTTTTGGTTATAAGAGACGATGGCAGAAACATTATGTACAAAATAAATTACAAATAACGTGGAAAAACACACATAATAGTACAATTGGTTAGAGGGCTGTAAAACGGCAGCCATCTTCTCCGGCGGCATCGTGTTTTGCCTCTGCCCTGGCTCTGCTCTGGTGCAGGGCAGTGACCCACCTGCCTTCCAGAGAGTGGTCCTCTGCTCGTTGCTAGAGTTGAAGGCCTTGGCGAAGCGGTGGGACTCCAGCAGGCAGTCCAGCAGCTTGAACAGCTGTTCTGAGGTCAGGTAGCGGTACATTCCTTGGTCCAGAGTCTCAACACGGACGTCTGCCGCATCCAGAGCATCTCTCTGGAGAGGACCAACACATACACAACCTTCAGAGAACTTTCACAGAACATTCACGCAACCAAACACAAACAGAGCCTTCACATATCACTGCTATGTATGACAAATACTTCCCTCCTTCCCTGACATTTACTAGAAGAACATACAGTAGAGACATTTCACATTTTCAATGATCAGGACAGTCCATCCAGCCAAACTTTTAAACACGCATTTTAGCAAGAAATGTGTCCTTCCACCAAGTTCTGAACCAGTGATATCTCTCATCCTCCACGTAGGGGTGGGAGTGAGACGTTACCTGTGCAGCAGCCAGGTTCTCAGCGTCCTCCTTCCTACTGGTTGCAGGGAAGAAGACCATGTTGTCTATGGTCTGGATCAGCTCCAACTGCACTACACACTTAATGAGCAGGGCTGAGAATAACCTCTGCTCCTGGATCTCTGTGGAACACACGCACGCACACACACACACACACACACACACACACACACACACACGATGAGCATAGGGTTGAAAAACACCCCAGTGGTACAAGGTATAAAGAGACACTAACTTGTTGGGGTCCGGTTTCTGCCGCCGTCCTCACACATGCTTGCGCTGTACTGACTGTGCCGCCGGGTCTCCATGGCAACCCTCTCCGCACTGTTGATGGAATGCTGGTCCTCGGAACGGGACTGGATGTCCACTGACTTCTGGAAAATTGAGTCCTGAGGGCACACGGGGAGAAGTTATTTTGTCTGCATTGTACTGGGTTATGTTATTGTACGGTCTAATCTGGCATAAGAGATACACCAGCAACAGACTGAATGAAGACCTACAGTACAGTCAGGGTTTGAAACATACCAGCTGTTTGTCTGATACATCCTGTGGTGTCATGGGATCTCCCTCTGCTCCTGCCGGTCTCCATGTCAACAGTCTGAGAGAGAGAGGGCAGAGAGGAACAATATGGGACAGGACAGTGTTAATCTACTTATACAGTGTTATACTATACACTACCATACTATACACAGACAGTCAGATATCACACTCTATCAACTAAACAACGGCAAAAGACACTAAAAGATCATGTCCATTTAATACCTCCCCTCCATTCCTAGAGGACTTCATATGACTGTCTCAGTGTGCTCCATATTTACATCACTAAGGTCAACAATAACAATCATCACAGACAATATTCCCATCTGAATCGTAGAGATATGAATAAAGCCTGCATCAGTAGCTTACGCGTGTGGAATGGTGGTCTTGAAGATGTCCAGCATGCAGTTACAGGTCTTGTCCCAGGTCTCTGGAGTAAACTTCTCTCCATTCAGAATGACCACGTTCTCCAGACAGTTAGTGCCTGACCGGGCCAACTGCTCATTATCTAGGGTGAGAGGGCGAGGAGGAGTGAAGGAGAGAGAGAGGAGAGAAGAAGTGAGGGAGAGAGAAAGACGAGAGTCAATTAATGTGGAGAGCAGGAGAATGGGAGAAGAGAGGGAAGAAAGAGCGGGATGGGGATTGAAAAGAAGAGGAAATATCCATAAGAAAGAGGGGTTGAGAGTGATTGAGGCCAGTGTACTCAGTATAAACCTAGGACTGAAGGTGTTTGTAGCGCTGCTGTCTGTCCTCACCTTGCTGAACACACCAGTACAGCTGGGACAGGATGTCATCCAGCAGGACGTCACTGAGAGTCTCAAAGTACTGCGTGAACACGTCAGAGATGGCGTAAAGTGCGTGGTTACAGGTCGTTGTCATCCACTCTGCTTTCTGGCAGACAAAAACAACACAGAAGGGTTACCAGGGTTACACCAGTTCAAGTCATCGTAGCAGCCAAGAGGACAATGGTCCAGTTGGTACTGGATACTAGTTGTGGAACCAATTATATATTTTTTTTATTAGGAGGTAGATCAGCTTTAATATTGCAGATAGATTGTAACTTCCATATACACATACATACATACATACATATAAATACATTTACATACACATATACATATAATTTTTTAAAATATATTTCCCTTTATTACTTTCCAACCCCACCACCCCTTCCCTATTGGAGTAAACTAGTGAACAACAATGCTTAGGCCTCTATTTCCAGCTTATACATACTATATACATTTTATGGACACAGTCAATTTTACAATAATTCTATTTCGTTGGTTTTTACTCCTGAACTTCCTCTACCCTCAACCTCTTCGATCATCTTCATGATGTCCATCCGGTTTGCTTCTATATGCCATATCTTTCTAACTGTGCTCTTTCACAAAAGCTCTCAACCTATAACCTATATACTTATTACGGACACAGTATGCTTACATTATTAGTTATCTTGTTGTTAGTAGTTGTTGTTGTTAGTTGTTATTAGTCCCATCCTTCAACTCCATTCAACACCTCCCATCTATCTCTTAACACCATCCATATTGGATTTCTATTTGCCATATATTTTTCAACTGCACTGGGATGTTTTACAAACGTTCTGAACCTTTCTACAGATTGTAAATTGAAAATAAACATTTTTGCTAAAAGTATTATTATATTATTGATCGATTGACTATGACTTTTCAGATCACCCAGTAATGCTATCTGCAGGGTTAGCTCCAGGTAAATATTGCAATCCTTTAGCCATTCCTGGACCTGTGTCCAAAAACAAGCTACAAATGGACAGTACCAAAACAAATGATCTAATGATTCTGTCTCTTCATAGCAAAATCTGCAGAGCTGGGAAGATTGTATCCCCCATATCAATAACATTCTACTGATAGCAAGAATTTTCATAATAATTTAAATTGAACAATTCTAAGTTTTGAATCTGGCGTCGTTTTGCGTATCAGTTCATAAACACTATGCCATGGAATCGGTACGTCAAAAATCTCTTCCTAACTATTTTGCAATCTATATGGGACGGCTGTCAATCCTTTGGTCCTTAAATGAAACTGGTATACTTTAATATTTAATAATTTCTGTCCTCCGAATTCATATTCATTATATAAATAGGCCTGTTTAATTTTGTCTGGCTTGCTGTTCCAAATAAAATTGAATCTTTTTTTCTCATATAATTTAAAAAACTGTTCACTAGGCGTAGGCAAGACCATAAGCAAATAAGTAAACTGGGATAATACTAAAGAGTTAATCAGGGTGATATTTACACAAATTGACAGGTACAGTTGAAGTCGGAAGTTTACATACACTTAGGTTGGAGGCATTAAAACTCGTTTTTCAACCACTCCTCAAATGTCTTGTTAACAAACTATAGTTTTGGCAAGTCGGTTAGGACATCTACTTTGTGCATGACACAAGTAATTTTTCCAACAATTGTTTACAGACAGATTATTTCACTTATAATTCACTGTATCACAATTCCAGTGGGTCAGAAGTTTATATACACTAGGTTGACTGTGCCTTTAAACAGCTTGGAAAATTCCAGAAAATGATGTCATGGCTTTAGAAGCTTCTGATAGGCTAATTGACATCATTTGAGTCAATTGGAGGTGTACCTGTGGATGTATTTCAAGGCCTACCTTCAAACTCAGTGCCTCTTTGCTCGACATCATTGGAAAATCAAAAGAAATCAGCCAAGACCTCAGAAAAAAAATTGTAGACCTCCACAAGTCTGGTTCATCCTTGGGAGCAATTTCCAAATGTCTGAAGGTACCACATTCATCTGTACAAACAATAGTATGCAAGTATAAACCCCATGGGACCACGCAGCTGTCATTCCGCTCAGGAAGGAGACGCGTTCTGTCTCCTAGAGATGAACGTACTTTGGTGTGAAAAGTGCAAATCAATCCCAGAACAACAGCAAAGGACCTTGTGAAGATGCTGGAGGAAACAGGTACAAAAGTATCTATATCCACAGTAAAACGAGTCCTATATCGACATAACCTGAAAGGCCGCTCAGCAAGGAAGAAGCCACTGCTGCAAAACGCCATAAAAAAGCCAGACTACGGTTTGCAACTGCACATGGGGACAAAGATCGTACTTTTTGGAGAAATGTCCTCTGGTCCGATGAAACCAAAATAGAACTGTTTGGTCATAATGACCAACGTTATGTTTGGAGGAAAAAGGGAGTGCTTGCAAGCCTAAGAACACCATCCCAACCGTGAAGCAAGGGGTGGCAGCATTATGCTGTGGGGGTGCTTTGCTGCAGGAGGGACTGGTGCATTTCACAAAATAGATGGCATCATGAGAAAGGAAAATTATGTGGATATATTGAAGCAACATCTCAAGACATCAGTCAGGAAGTTAAAGCTTGGTCGCAAATGGGTCTTCCAAATGCACATTGACCCCAAGCATACTTCCAAAGTTGTGGCAAAATGGCTTAAGGACAACAAAGTCAAGATATTGGGGTGGCCATCACAAAGCCCTGACCTCAATCCTATAGAAAAGTTGTGGGCAGAACTGAAAAAGCGTTTGCGAGCAAGGAGGCCTACAAACCTGACTCAGTTACACCAGCTCTGTCAGGAGGAATGGGCCAAAATTCACCCAACTTATTGTTTGACCCAAGTTAAACAATTTAAAGGCAATGCTACCAAATACTAATTGAGTTTATGTAAACTTCTGACCCACTGGGAATGTGATGAAAGAAATAAAAGCAGAAATAAATCATTCTCTCTACTATTATTCTGACATTTCACATTCTTAAAATAAAGTGGTGATCCTAACTGACCTAAGACAGGGAATTTTTACTAGGATTAAACGTCAGGAGTTGTGATAAACTGAGTTTAAATGTATTTGGCTAAGGTGTATGTAAACTTCGGACTTCAACTGTATTTACCTTTCCATGGTAGCAAGATCTTATCTATTTTTGCTAACTTTTGATTAAAATGTATTGGAGTGAGATAATTTATTTTATTTGGGATATGTATTCCGAGTATATCCACATCACCATCAGACCATTTCATTGGTAAACTACATAGTAATGTAAAAATTGTATTTTTTAGTGATCCAGTACGTAATATAGTACCTTTATCATAATTTGGTTGTAATCCAAGGAGGTTAGAAAATGTATCTAGATCCTCTATGAGGCTGTGGAGGGATTCAAGTTGTGGATTTAAAAGAAAACATGAATCATCAGCGTACAATGACACCTTTGTTTTTAAGCCCTGGATTTCTAACCTTGATATTATTGTTGGATCTGATTTTAATAGCTAACATCTCGATGGCCATAATAAATAGATATGCCGATAGTGGACAACCTTGTTTCACTCCTCTTGACAGTTTAAAACTTTCGGAGAAATAGCCATTATTTACTATTTTACGCCATTTTATAAGAGATTGTCCAAAATCAAAATGCTCCAGGCATTTATATATAAACCCCAGTCGTACTTTATCAAATGCCTTTTCAAAGTCTGCTATGAATAGCAGGCCTGGTTTCCCAGATTTTTCATAGTGTTCTATTGTTTCCAGTACTTGCCTTATATTATCTCCAATGTATCGTCCATGTAAAAAACCTGTCTGATTATAATGAATAATGTCTGACAATACCTTTTTAATTCTATGCGCTATACATTTTGCTAGATTTTTTGCATCACAACACTGAAGTGTAAGGGGCCTCCAATTTTTTATATAGACTGGATCTTTATATTTTCCACTTCTATCCTGTTTCAGTAATAATGAAATCAGACCTTCTTCTTGAGTGTCTGATAATCTACCATTTACATAGGAGTGGTTAAAACATGCTAATAACGGTCCTCTGAGTATATCGAAAAAGGTTTGATATACCTCAACTTGTATGCCATCCAACCCTGGAGTTTTCCAGGACATTAAGTATTTAATTGCATCCAGAAGTTCCTCCTCTGTAATTTCACCTTCACATTAATCTTTTTGTATGGCTGTTAATTTTACATTATCAATAGAAAAACAATCTCTAAAATTAGCTTCAGTTAGAGGAGATGGAGGCGACTGAAATGAAAACATATGCTTAAAGTACTTTGTTTCCTCCTTCAAAATATCATTTGGTGAATCATGGGTGACTCTGTCATTTGTAACCAGTTTCAGTAAATTCTTTTTGGTAGCATTCCTATGTTGAAGATTAAAAAATAATTTGGTGCATTTTTCCCCATATTCCATGCAGTTTGCTTTATTTTTATAATATATTACACTTGATCTTTCTTGAATACGTTTCTCCATTTCTTTTTGTTTTTCCTCTAATTTATTCTGAGCCTCTGTTACAGTTTTTATTGCTATCTACCTGTTCTGTTAGACCTTCTATTTCCTTTGTTAGTAAGGACTCTTTAGACCTAAATTGCTTTTGTTTTCGAGATGAGTACTGAATTGCATTGCCTCTAAAGGCACATTTAAAGGTGTCCCATACAATAAGGTGATTTGCTGTACCTATGTTATGTGGGAAAAAACAAGTTATCATCCAATAGGCTTTGATTAAATTTCCAATATCCTCGCCCACATGGAAATTCAGTAAGAGTAATGTATATGCCAATTATATGATGGTCCGGAAATAGGTGTTGGTTACACTGGAGATAAAGCTGGGTCTTTGGTGAATGGGTCTTTGGGATGGGGAGACTTGCCTCAGTTTGCTGCTCAGGCAGCTTCATGTTGTCAAAGATCCTGAAGACGATTCTGAACAGATCCTGCCACCAGTGTTTCTCAAAGGTGTGTCCATAGGTCTTCATCACCTCAAACATCACCGTCAGACCCCTGACACACACACACTTTTTTACAATACACCCTTACCATCATTTCAGACTTTAGCCTCTAAAATATTCCCATTTGGATGACACAGGACTGAAACTCTTCTCACCTCGTCCTGACATCCAGTTTGCACCTATTGATGATGCAGGACAGCTCAAAGAGGATGGGGAACCACCCCCTCACCCACACCCGGTCCTCTGGGACTACATTCATGTCATCGCTGGTGTAGTCTTTGAATGCCTGCCAGAGAGAAAACAGCATAGTTTACACCATTCCCTGAGAGGTGATACACACACACGGACACACAAGCGCAGACACACACACACACATGCACATGTGGGGACACACTAACTCTATAACGGTTTAAGCCGTATTTACTGTTCACTGTAGGCTTTTCCTGAATTTGCCCCATCGCCCACTCAAAGTAGGTTTTCGTGCACACACACACACACACATGGAACTAATCCCCTCCTCTCCTCTTGTCCACCCCCACACAGACAAACAGAAAGCAGGCAGCATGGCTGGAGAGTGTCTGCATAGGGAGGAGACCTTGGAGAAAAGCACTGGCAGTAAGCACCAGTGATGTTTTCTAACATGGTAGATTTTCATGCTGTTATCCAGAGTGACTCACAATGTTTATCTGATAAGTCACAAGAAAACTATAAAAGCTTTAGGTGGGTCACAGTACAAAATGTTTTGGGGACCAGTCATGGTCTACCATGAACAACTATGGGCAATACCATTTGATGTTCAGAAATGACTGATTTGGGTTCAGCTCTTACATTTTACATTACATTTTAGTCATTTAGCAGACGCTCTTATCCAGAGCGACTTACAGTTAGTGAGTGCATACAATTTTTTCATACTATGAGACCTGATAATAAACCCAGTCCAGGGAGTGTTTGTAACTGACCTGGGGCCTGTCGGAGACGTATTTGGCACAGTGTCGGATGAGGCGGATGGCCTCCATGCTGGTGTCGGGGAAGGAGGCGTTGCAGGCGAACTCAGATAGACACTTGACTGCATCTTGGAAGGAGTCTATGGTGGCTTGGAAGTGCTTCTCAAATACATTCGCTGAGAGAAGGAGAGAAGAAGAGTAGGAGAGAAAAAGAGAAGAAGAGGAGAGAAGAAGAGAAGAAGAGTAGGAGAGAAGAAGAGAAGGAGAGTAGGGGAGAAGAAGAGTAGGGGAGAAGGAGAGAAGAAGAGAAGGAGAGAAGAAGAGAAGGAGAGAAGGAGAGAAGAAGAGAAGGAGAGAAGGAGAGAAGGAGAGAAGAAGAGAAGAAGGAGAGAAGGAGAGATCAGAGGAAAAGGATGACTGGAGGTAACTTATCTGTCAATCAGAATGACATTACATTGCCCTGTCATCAAAAAGACTCAAATAAACCTCAAATTGAGGTTTAAATATGAATCTAATACTGAAACCATCATATTGAAATCTTATGTGGCAAATATATATATATTAAATATAAATATTAAAATAAAATCTTAAAAGATAGAAGATAATACAGATCAGATAATGAAGATCAGTTCTTAGCCCGACAGATGGTTGTCTCTGAGGTGTCGGTCTGTGTGTGTCTCAGTAACTCACTGCTGATGTGACCCGTGGTCTGGAAGGCTAGCTCTACGATGCTCTCGTCCTGGTCCGAGGCAGCCAGGTGGAACACTGAGAAGATGTTCTTCCAGCCCGACCGGATGTTCCCCGCCTGTGAGTTGACCATTTGGGCTATACAGCGCACCACCATGTCCCTGATCGTTGGAGATCTGGAGCAGAAGGAAGACACGTTGTATGTGAAAGAAAGATGCTTATTGGACTATGAGGACGATCATCAATAGTGCAGTAGCAGTCAAAGTACAAGTACCCCTGCTACAGCCCTTTATTCCGGCAGTCTGATTATTCCTTTTTGGATGTTGTGACATGATAGGTTCCGACGGCGACTGTTGTCATAGCGAATCATTTTTTCTGTGCTTTGATTAAGGAGAAAGGACCAGCCTCTGCACAAAAGTACTCTCACAAACATACTACACAAACACACACACACACACACACAGGCTGAGTCTAATGAACACATAGCACCGCGGGCGTCCATGGCTTTACGTGGCTCCCTGCCATTTCCTCTGAGCTGTAACACTCTTCTCACAGTAAGCCAGTGGGTGGATTTGGGCTGGTAGTTCTCCTTCACATCAATGGAAACAGCTTTCAACTGTGCGATTCTGAGCCCTCCAATTTTAATCAACTGTATCTGTGTCACTACAGAATCTGAGAAAAGAGTCACAGCTTCTACTCAGTTGTCTTGGAGTGCTTTCCTGGTGCTCAAGCAAAAACCAAGAAGAGATATTATATAAAATCCCTATCTTGATCTCTGGGTTAGTTCTGACTGTGCCAGTTTTCTCCTCCTCAGAGAGCTGGGTGACACAGTTTGACACAGTGCAGTGACTCAGTACAGGGAGACTGTCTGGCTGCAGTGCTAAGAGAGACAGCTGCTGGAATGTGAACCACAGAGGTGCAACACAACACAGACCTTGTAAGGCCAGACTACTATAGCCAAGTGCCTACGCAACTAGGGAGTGTGTACATATACCAGCACACACACCGCAAGCTCATTCAACACAAGCAGGACACGCACACACACAAACACACTCACACAATACAAATCAGGAATAACGTTTACAGCAACATCCTCATTACCTGTTCTTTTTCATGATGTGCTCGAAAGGCCTCAGAAAGTCCTTCTGGAATCTGAAGTTTGCCAGCTCTCCCTTCTCTAGAAACTTCATGGACAGCTGCCGGAGAGAATCCACGGCAAAAATAGCCACATCCTCATTGGGGTTACATCCAACCTGAACAGGGAGACAGACACAGTATTTTAACATCTCTATTCCACTCTCAAACTTTAAGTGTAAGTGCTGTTTGAAAAGCCGGAAATGTCAGCCTGTTTTGGTAGGATGGAGTTTTGGCCTGCCTGGTGACATCACCAGTCGAGTTCCAAACCTCTCAGCCAATAACAGGTAGTTTTCAGTTTTCTCCTCCCCACTCAGACCACTCCCCATTTTAATTGATCACATTAATGTATTTATTTTTAATTTTAGGGGGTAGATCAGCTTTAATATTGCAGATAGATCGTAACTTCCATCAATGTAATTGTCTGCATCACTTCCAATCCCCCATATGTTTTTTTCTCTCACAAATATATATATATATACACAGTGAGGGAAAAAAGTATTTGATCCCCTGCTGATTTTGTACGTTTGCCCACTCACAAAGAAATGATCAGTCTATAATTTTAATGGTAGGTTTATTTGAACAGTGAGAGACAGAATAACAACAAGAAAATCCAGAAAAACACATGTAAAAAATGTTAGAAATTGATTTGCATTTCAATGAGGGAAATAAGTATTTGACCCCTCTGCAAAACATGATTTAGTACTTGGTGGCAAAACCCTTGTTGACAATCACAGAGGTCAGATGTTTTTGTAGTTGGCCACCAGGTTTGCACACATCTCAGGAGGGATTTTGTTCCACTCCTCTTTGCAGATCTTCTCTAAGTCATTAAGGTTTCGAGGCTGATGTTTGGCTACTCGAATCTTCAGCTCCCTCCACAGATTTTCTATGTGATTAAGGTCTGGAGACTGGCTAGGCCACTCCAGGATCTTAATGTGCTTCTTCTTGAGCCACTCCTTTGTTGCCTTGGCTGTGTGTTTTGGGTCATTGTCATGCTGGAATACCCATCCACGACCCATTTTCAATGCCCTGGCTGAGGGAAGGAGGTTCTCACCCAAGATTTGACGGTACATGGCCCCGTCCATCGTCCCTTTGATGCGGTGAAGTTGTCCTGTCCCCTTAGCAGAAAAACACCCCCAAAGCATAATGCTTCCACCTCCATGTTTGACGGTGGGGATGGTGTTCTTGGGGTCATAGGCAGCATTCCTCCTCCTCCAAACACGGCGAGTTGAGTTGATGCCAATGAGCTCGATTTTGGTCTCATCTGACCACAACACTTTCACCCAGATCTCCTCTGAATCATTCAGATGTTCATTGGCAAACTTCAGACGGCCCTGTATATGTGCTTTCTTGAGCAGGGGACCTTGCGGGCGCTGCAGGATTTCAGTCCTTCACGGCGTAGTGTGTTACCAATTGTTTTCTTGGTGACTATGGTCCCAGCTGCCTTGAGATCATTGACAAGATCCTCCCGTGTAGTTCTGGGCTGATTCCTCACCGTTTTCATGATCATTGCAACTCCACGAGGTGAGATCTTGCATGGAGCCCCAGGCCGAGGGAGATTGACATATCTTTTGTGTTTCTTCCATTTGCGAATAATCGCACCAACTGTTGTCACCTTCTCACCAAGCTGCTTGGTGATGGTCTTGTAGCCCATTCCAGCCTTGTGTAGGTCTACAATCTTGTCCCTGACATCCTTGGAGAGCTCTTTGGTCTTGGCCATGGTGGAGAGTTTAGAATCTGATTGATTGATTGCTTCTGTGGACAGGTGTCTTTTATACAGGTAACAAGCTGAGATTAGGAGCACTCCCTTTAAGAGTGTGCTCCTAATCTCAGCTCATTACCTGTATAAAAGACACCTGGGAGCCAGAAATCTTTCTGATTGAGAGGGGGTCAAATACTTATTTCCCTCATCAAAATGCAAATCAATTTATACATTTTTGACATGCGTTTTTCTGGATTTTTGTTGTTGTTATTCTGTCTCTCACTGTTCAAATAAACCTACCATTAAAATTATAGACTGATCATTTCTTTGTCAGTGGGCAAACGTACAAAATCAGCAGGGGATCAAATACTTTTTTCCCTCACTGTACATACTATATACATTTTATGGACACAGTCAATTTTACAATAATTCTATTTAGTTTGTTTTACTCCTGAACTTCCCTACCCCTCAACCTCTCAGATCATTTTCATGATGTCCATCTGTTTGCTTTCTAGTATGTTCATATATTTATAACTGTGTCTTTTCACAAAAGCTCTCAACCATATAACCTATATACTTATTATGGACACAGTATGCTTTACAATTAGTTATCTTGTGTGTTATTAGGTTTGTTGTTAGTGTTATTCGTCCCCATCCTTCAACTTCATTCAACAGGTAAGGGTACTTAATTGTTGACCAGAAAATGGATTTCATATTAGATATAAAAAACGGCTGCAGTGGACCTTTAAAGCCCAGGTGTTCCTGAGGGAAGGTTATGGGGTAGTTAGTGTATGGGGTAGTTACTGTAGGTTGAACGGGTGCACGGCAGACTTTAACAGCAACAGTAGTTGTTCCTGTATGTGGCACTAAAACAAATATTTGTGTACTGCCAAGTTAATTGCTGCGTTATGAAAGGAACTAGACACGGACACGAATTATCTGCTTAGTGTGTTAACACACTATTGGTGGTTTGTTGTGACCAAGTGTTGGTGCTAAACTGTGTGTTATTGGATGCTAGCATGCTAGTTAGCTATGGTGTCATAGTTAGCTAGCTGAATAAAGTGGGTTGAGTCTATTCCTTTAAACATTGAACCGCTGTGGTTCACAACAATTCTGATTTCTAAAGGTGGAAGTTGGGAGAGTTTTTGTTCGGGTGGTTCAGTGAAACAATTATAGTTTCTGAGGTGGAAGTTTTGGTGAGGGAGGCCCTGCTCTCTCCTCTCCCAGATGTTTAGTTCATTTCATTCCGATCTCCTCTGCATTATTGTAGCCATTTGCTACAGCCTGTCAACTATGCCTCTGCCTATCCCTGTTCTCTCCTCTCTGCACAGGCTACACAAACGCCTCACACCGCGTGGCTGCTGCCTCTCTAACCTGGTGGTCCCTGCACGCACCCCACACCTGGAGTTCCAGGTCTCAGGCAGCCTCTGGAACTGCCGTTCTGCTGCCAACAAAGCTGACTTCATCCCAGCCTATGCTAACCTCCAGTCCCTCGACTTCCTGGCGCTGACGGAAACATGGATTACCACTGAAAACACTGCTACTCCTACTGCTCTCTCCTCGTCTGACCATGTGTTCTCGCATACCCCGAGAGCATCTGGTCAGAGGGGTGGTGGCACAGGAATCCTCATCTCTCCCAAGTGGACATTCTCAATTTTTCCCCTAACCCATCTGTCTATCTCCTCATTTGAATTCCATGCTGTCACAGTCACTAGCCCATTTAAGCTTAATATCCTTGTCATCTATCGCCCTCCAGGTTCCCTTGGAGAGTTCATCAATGAGCTTGACGCCTTGATAAGTTCCTTTCCTGAGGATGGCTCACCCCTCACAGTTTTGGGGGATTTCAACCTCCCTATGTCCACATTTGACTCATTTCTCTCTGCCTCCTTCTTTCCACTCCTCTCCTCTTTTGACCTCACCCTCTCACCGTCCCCCCCTACTCACAAGGCAGGCAATACGCTTGACCTCATCTTTACTAGATGCTGCTCTTCTACTAATCTCACTGCAACTCCCCTCCATGTCTCCGACCACTACTTTGTTTCCTTTTCTCTCTCGCTCTCCTCCAACACTACTCACTCTGCCCCTACACAGATGGTAATGCGCCGCCGCAACCTTCGCTCTCTCTCCCACTACTCTCTCCTCTTCCATCCTATCATCTCTTCCCTCTGCTCAATCCTTCTCCCTCCAATCTCCTGATTCTGCCTCCTCAACCCTCCTCTCCTCCCTTTCTGCATCCTTTGACTCTCTGTGTCCCCTATCCTCCCGGCCGGCTCGGTCCTCCCCTCCAGCTCCGTGGCTTGATGACTCATTGCGAGCTCACAGAACAGAGCTCCGGGCAGCGGAGCGGAAATGGAAGAAAACTAGAACACTCGCCTATGGAGCAGTGAGGGGAACGGCACCTCTGTACCTTCGGCCTCTGATCAGTCCCTACACCCAAACGAGGGCATTGCGTTCATCCACCTCTGGCCTGCTGGCTCCCCTTCCTCTGCGGAAGCATAGTTCCCGCTCAGCCCAGTCAAAACTGTTCGCTGCTCTGGCACCCCAATGGTGGAACAAGCTCCCTCACGACGCCAGGACAGCGGAGTCACTCACCACCTTCCGGAGACATTTGAAACCCCACCTCTTTAAGGAATACCTGGGATAGGATAAAGTAATCCTTCTACCCCCCCCCCCCCAAAAATTGTAAAGTGGTTATCCCACTGGCTATAGGGTGAATGCACCAATTTGTGAGTCGCTCTGGATAAGAGCGTCTGCTAAATGACGTAAATGTGCCCTTGAGCAAGGCACTTAACCCTAATTGCTCCTGTAAGTCGCTCTGGATAAGAGCGTCTGCTAAATGACTAAAATGTAAATGTTATAAAGGCTGATTAACACCTGGGTAATCAGGTGTGTGGACTCTCTAGCCAACAACAACATTAATTGATCAATTAATGCAAATAAAACAAATAATAAAAAGCAGTCCCTGACAACCAGAGTTGTGTACCCCTGTTAAAGTGAAATAAATCCCAAGATGTCCACCTTGTTGAAGTGGTCTCCGATGACCTCCCAGATCCTGGACCACTGCAGTCGGATACGTCCCATGTTGTAGTAGGAGATCTCCACTATCTTCTGCAGGCTGAACATGCGGGGGTGTGTGGGCGAGGCCAGCTCATCCATAGACACAGCACACAACCAGCGCACAAAGTCCACTGAGAACACAGAGAAACCAGTGTTTGTCAATGTTCAGGACAGCCATGGTACAATGCCAACACATCCACATCAGATAAGGATGTAATCAAATACTGTAATTGAATTAAGTTTGGATTTAGAACACTCACCAATTGCATTACCATCCAGTCTGGTAGAACCTGTGAATATTCTGCAAGAACAAGACCATGGTCACATTTAAATGACATATACAATACATTCATTCAAATGATAGAACAATGGCAGAGTTAAGACCCCAAACCAGTCAATGGTAATACAGCAGGATCTATAAGAGACCACTACAGTACACTACCTGTCCACAGCCACCACCACACTCTGGGAGCTGGTTTCTCCTATGGACTCCTGGATACTGAGGATCTGCTTCCGGTCTACTGTCCCACCTGCTGTGCACCACAGGACAGTCAGTCACATCTCCAACATCAAGCATAATGTCAAACATGTTGTATAGTCAAGCACATCACCGGCTTGTTAACTACAGTTTATTTAATCTGTTTATAACCAAAACATGTGTTAAAGGGTTATAAGCACTGACCCAGGCCCAGGTATTCGTCGTTGCTCTGCTCCTTGGTGCTGGTGATGAAGCCCTCTTTCCCCCGAACCGTCCCTGAGATGTACCTGGCCTTCACCCCCGTCCCGATCAGCTGGGCCAGCTCCAACTGACTGATACACTTCATTATCTGTAGGGGGGGGGGGGGGGGGGTGGGTGGCACACATACAGTCACACATGCATTCAATAAGGCTGCATTTACACAGGCGGCAAAAGAGCTGATCTGCTTGGTCAAAAGACTGATTGTGTAAACGCACCCTTAGTTAGGATTTTTTTTGCACAGATTCATTAGTCTTAATTAGTTGACATATATATTATATATATATATTTTTTTCACATCGATTGCATCAAAATAAAAAAAAATGGAGACAAAATGATGCAATATACTATAGCTTACAACAGCAATACTGACAGTGATACTATTGTTGCTAATACTGATTACTAGACGTTGGCAGTATGTCCAGACCTCGTGCCAGGAGTTGCCCAGGTAGTTTCCGTCTGTGTGGGCGACGGTGATGAGGGTCTTGATGGTGTCGATGTTCTTCTGCTTCATCTCAGTGATGCCAGAGCTGGCTGTGAGCAGAGTGAAACGTGCCAGGGCCTGCACGTACGCATCCCGCTCCAGCTGTGTGTGTGTGTGTGTGTGTGAGTGTGAGTGTGAGTGTGAGTGTGAGTGTACGTGTAAGTGTAAGTGTGAGTGTGAGAGAGAGAGAGAGAGAGAGAGAGAGACCATATTCAGTACTGCAGTACTATCTCCATTATGTTTTTGAGCATGCCATCTTTGGAAAACACACCATTTCACCTTTTGATTCAAAGCCCCTCAATCCCTTTCATTGAATTCATATTAATCCTAAGTGAACACATACAGAGTTACAGTGCTAGATAGATTACCTGTATGGTGAAGATGCAGGCTATCCGGATGGCAAAGCGTGTTCCCTCCAGACAGAGAAAAGCCACCTCAGTGTCATCACAATCCTGGAGACCCACACTGAAGGCTGCTAGGAACGGGGTCCAGGCCAGCTTGAACATGGGTCTGACATGCTCCAGGTGTGTGGCGCTGGTGAAGGGAGCCTGGACGTGACTGACAGCCTCCATCAGGGCCTTGGCTGTCTTAGCCATCTGCTCCATCTCTACGTTATACAGCAGCCGCCGCTGCTTCTCACTGGCCACACCTGATCCAGAAACAGAAGTAAAGTCATAGCATGAACAAACCCACTCTGATTTTCACTGGCCACACCTGGTCCAGGATCCGATACAAGGCTTCCTACATGTTGTGTTTTCAGATGAGTGCAGATTATAAAGCAGGCAAGAGGAAGCCACCTGCACAAACACGTGATATTGAAGACGACAAATATACACTATCTCCAACTGAAGAGGAAACTTTCCCTGTTGAACAACAGACACTATCTCCAACTGAAGAGGAAACTTTCCCCGTTGAACAACAGACACTATCTCCAACTGAAGAGGAAACTTTCCCCGTTGAACAACAGACACTATCTCCAACTGAAGAGGAAACTATCCCCGTTGAACAACAGACACTATCTCAAACTTTTCCACTGATCAGTAACCCAATCTAATCAAACTACATCTTAATCCCCTTTATATCTCTTTGATTGTGATGAGAATTCTATGATCCCCACAAAGATATCAGATGAAATGACTCTCGTCAGTTAAATATAAAGCTGATAATTTGCAAAGATCCATTACGCCTCAAAATAGGCATTTCATGTCTTAAACAAACTTATCTCTGACACGCTCAATTTCAGTCTGTAATGACATTGTTGTGCTAGCAGACACAGAGGAACAGAGATACACACTGTGCTTGTTGGATTTGAGAGTCATTTCCTTGGTCCCCTTCATAGCGATCTTCTTCCCAGCGATCTCGTCGTAGATGGCCGACAGATACTCCTCTGGCAGATCCTTGCTGTCGTTGATCCCTCTGTTCATCTTGATGTATTGCTCTTTAGTCATCTTGTTCTTAACCTTTGAAAAGTAAAAGATGAGATTTGTTACCCTGTCTGTCTGCCTACTCTGTCTGTCTACTTTTGTCTGTTTGTCTGTCTGAAATAGCTAGCATTGACATTCCCTTTGCCACTGCTGAAAGTCTTCTGTTGAAACTAAGTGCAGCTCAGGTGATTGTTTCTGTCAGTTCATCTTCCCAAAAACAGGCTGTGGTCTTACCTGCGGACTATGAAGGTCTGTTGTCAACATAATGATTGAGTAGGCAAGGACATACGCAGTGTCTGCACTCGCAAACTCGGTTTGCCTGAAGAGAGAGATAAAGAAAAGGGGAGAGAGAAGATAAACATAACAGAGATTAATAAAAGTGTATGACTGGTTTTGCTAGACATAATTAGACTAATATATCTACTCTGAATTGTTAATTGGACCTTTACTGTCAATTCTTGATTTCTTGTTTATATTTTTAGATTATTTGTATTGTATTTGCGAGACACCTGCAAATCCGTGTAAGCGACCAATAAACTTTGATTTGATTATTATTGAATACAGATTCATAATAGAGAGCAATCTGATTGTTGCCATTCAATGTGCTTGACACAAGTCTTCTTCTAAGTCTAAGAATCCACAATGCCCAGGGTAGTCCACACTCACCCCTGATTGCATTCTAGGTATCTAGCAGCAAATTTCTCCATGAGCCTGTCGATCTTCTGAGCCTCTCCCGGGAGACGGAAGCCCTCGAGGAATGTCCTGAGAGCGTAGACAAAGTCTTTGCCCTGGAAGTCCATCTGGTCCACATAGGCATACATGACCTCTTTATTGAAGCGATCATTGTCCCCCAGGAACTCACCCACCTGAGTCTGAGAGGAAGACAGAGAGGGAGAGTGAGAAAGAGGGATGGAAAGAGAGGGACAGAAGGGGATAGAGATAGGCCAAGAGAGGCAATGATGTTAAGTTCAATCAATAGATAATGATTTTTCCTAATGCATGTGCTCCTCATTGGAAGTCAATTAACACATATTGTCCTGACAAGCATCTCCTTAACTTCAGAGACACAGCACACTGAGAGGAAAGGACTGTGTTTTCAGAAAACAGCAGTGTCGATGTGTTAAATACATGTTGTAGTCAGTCAGTCACTCCTCTCTGCTCTATTCTCCCTGCTCTGTCAGACTCTCTGGCTGTCTGTTTGAGGGCCTCTTGTTCCAAAGCAGATGTTATGAACACTCTTTAATGCAGATTACCACCACACCGAGCCCCCCTTGAGGCCAGCCAATCAACCAGGAGAGTGCTTCACTCGTTAAAATAAACCGCTCGGGATGCGGGAATCGTCTTGGAGTGGGAGGGTAATGTTGGCAGTTCAACATTAGGAGATAAGTGCCTTGGTGTTTCTATGGGATGGATATGTTCTGCTTTGGGCCTGCAGCTGTGTGGAGGCCGGATGACTAAGCCAACTGTGTGAACCGAGAGTTTAATGAGCTAGAGTGGGTATTTGTGTACTTGCTATTCGGATCCCTATTAGCTGCTCCGATCAATCACTCTACTCTACAATCGACAGGTCAAAAGGTAAAAGGTTCACAGAGCGCAGAGCTGAATGAGGTAGAGTGGGTATTTGTTTATTTGGACCTGCATAAGTCAAATGAAATGCAGTTAACTGAAGTAGATTGGGTAAACAGATTTAAGAGGGTTCTTTACCGAGTCCAGCCTCTCCTCCTGGTGCAGGAACTGAGCGAGGTCCTCCGGGGTGGTTCCCAGCATGCCTTGCTCCTGGAGGTACTGGATGCCCCTCTTTGGTTTCTTGTTGAACCTGACCACAGAACAGAGAACAGGGTAATGTCTAGGGATACAAATTTGGTCAAATTGACGTCAAAAGTTGAATTTTCTTACATTTTCGCAAACCCAAACCCTAACCCTTTTCATAACGTTAACCTAAATCTCCTAACCTGCTACGTTAATTATCCTAACCTGCTGCGTAAGGTCTCCTAAATATGCTTAGTAAGGTGGAGGAGGAAGTGTCCCTCCAGAGCCATAGTGTATAATGTATATTTTGTCCTAATTACAGTAATGAACTAATTAGTAATTGGCTAATTAATCAATGGCATTAATTGATCAATTAAGTGCCAGCGAGAAATGAAAACTAGCAGGACAACATCCCTCACTAAAAGGACTGCCGTTGTGCACCACTGGGTGGGAATATATTCAGTTGTGTGTACAGGATAAGGTGAATATATTCAAGTATACAGTATAAGGTGAATATATTCAGCTGTGTGTACAGGATAAGGTGAATATATTCAGCTCTCTATAGCGTACAAGGTGAATATATTCAGGTATACATGATAAGGTGAATATATTCAGGTAAACAGTACAAGGTGAATATATTCAGCTGTCTATACAGAACAAGGTGAATATATTCAGGTATACAGTATAATGTGAATATATTCAGGTATACAGTATAAGGTGAATATATTCAGGTATACAGTACAAGTTGAATATACAGTGGGGGAAAAAAGTATTTAGTCAGCCACCAAATGTGCAAGTTCTCACACTTAAAAAGATGAGAGGCCTGTAATTTTCATCATAGGTACACGTCAACTATGACAGACAAAATGAGAAAAAAAAATCCAGAAAATCACATTGTAGGATTTTTTATGAATGTATTTGCAAACTATGGTGGAAAATAAGTATTTGGTCAATAACAAAAGTTTCTCAATACTTTGTTATATACCCTTTGTTGGCAATGACACAGGTCAAACGTTTTCTGTAAGTCTTCACAAGGTTTTCACACACTGTTGCTGGTATTTTGGCCCATTCCTCCATGCAGATCTCCTCTAGAGCAGTGATGTTTTGGGGCTGTCACTGGGCAACACGGACTTTCAACTCCCTCCAAAGATTTTCTATGGGGTTGAGATCTGGAGACTGGCTAGGCCACTCCAGGACCTTGAAATGCTTCTTACGAAGCCACTCCTTCGTTGCCCGGGCGGTGTGTTTGGGATCATTGTCATGCTGAAAGACCCAGCCACGTTTCATCTTCAATGCCCTTGCTGATGGAAGGAGGTTTTCACTCAAAATCTCACGATACATGGCTCCATTCATTCTTTCCTTTACACGGATCAGTCGTCCTGGTCCCTTTTCAGAAAAACAGCCCCAAAGCATGATGTTTCCACCCCCATGCTTCACAGTAGGTATGGTGTTCTTTGGATGCAACTCAGCATTCTTTGTCCTCCAAACACGACGAGTTGAGTTTTTACCAAAAAGTTATATTTTGGTTTCATATAATAATAATATGCCATTTAGCAGACGCTTTTTATCCAAAGCGACTTACAGTCATGCGTGCATACATTTTTAAAAAAAAATTTTGTGTATGGGTGGTCCCGGGGATCGAACCCACTACCTTAGCGTTACAAGCGCCGTGCTCTACCAGCTGAGCTACAGAGGACCACAATCTGACCATATGACATTCTCCCAATCCTCTTCTGGATCATCCAAATGCACTCTAGCAAACTTCAGACGGGCCTGGACATGTACTGGCTTAAGCAGGGGGACACGTCTGGCACTGCAGGATTTGAGTCCCTGGCAGCGTAGTGTGTTACTGATGGTAGGCTTTGTTACTTTGGTCCCAGCTCTCTGCAGGTTATTCACTAGGTCCCCCCGTGTGGTTCTGGGATTTTTGCTCACCGTTCTTGTGATCATTTTGACCCCACGGGGTGAGATCTTGCGTGGAGCCCCAGATCGAGGGAGATTATCAGTGGTCTTGTATATCTTCCATTTCCTAATAATTGCTCCCACAGTTGATTTCTTCAAACCAAGCTGCTTACCTATTGCAGATTCAGTCTTCCCAGCCTGGTGCAGGTCTACAATTTTGTTTCTGGTGTCCTTTGACAGCTCTTTGGTCTTGGCCATAGTGGAGTTTGGAGTGTGACTGTTTGAGGTTGTGGACAGGTGTCTTTTATACTGATAACAAGTTCAAACAGGTGCCATTAATACAGGTAACGAGTGGAGGACAGAGGAGCCTCTTAAAGAAGAAGTTACAGGTCTGTGAGAGCCAGAAATCTTGCTTGTTTGTAGGTGACCAAATACTTATTTTCCACCATAATTTGCAAATAAATTCATTAAAAATCCTACAATGTGATTTTCTGGATTTTTTTTTCTCAATTTGTCTGTCATAGTTGACGTGTACCTATGATGAAAATTACAGGCCTCTCTCATCTTTTTAAGTGGGAGAACTTGCACAATTGGTGGCTGACTAAATACTTTTTTCCCCCACTGTATTCAGCTGTCTATACAGAACAAGGTGAATATATTCAGGTATACATGATAAGGTGAATATATTCAGGTATACAGTACAAGGTGAATATATTCAGGTATACAGAACAAGGTGAATATATTCAGGTATACAGTAAAAGGTGAATATATTCAGGTATACAGTACAAGGTGAATATATTCAGGTATACAGTATAAGCAGCACTAGTCTGGCTTACAGGTCGATGCCCTGCTCGATGATCTCCTTCTGTTGTTTGAGAACCTCAAACTGCTCAGGGTTGTCTGTCCCTGACATCTGTGTGCTGTAGCTCCCGATGCCCGACGAGGCCGTGGAGTCCAGGGAGTTGATGCTTCCGTAGCGGTTGATGGTCTCTGGGGCCTTCGTCTCATTGGTCTCCTGCTCCGAGGGCTTCTCCTGACCTGGGGATGGAGGGAGAAGAACATTGAACAATCAATGGTCTGAGAGAGATGAGCACACACTGTAGTTGGTGTTAGGACGCCAACGCAATCAGCAATCCAGCACAGTCAGGCAAGGAAATACTAAACGTTTTCAAACATACTGTATATTCAATTTCCTTTTTTTAGCCATTAGGGGTGTTCAGCCTAGAGTTTCTAGATCCAGGTCTCTGGGGACTTCAGTAATAGTGGGAGGGAGTCTGCACTGCTGAGAGAAAGACAACATGATAAACCTGAGGCCTGGTGGTATATTGTCTGCTGTGGGGAGCCTGACAGTATCATGCACACAGACATTTAAAAGGTATGTTATTTAATAAACCAGGCAGGCTGCAGTCAAGGCAGTGTGTAGTAACTGTAACATGGAGGTAGTGCAGGGTGTTGCGTGTAGCCTGAGGGGACAGGACAGAGCAGAGCAGCCTAACAGGTCTGATGCTACTGTTCTGTGGGTGAATCAGGTCCATGGTGGTTGCATGCCTGGCTGTAACAGACATTGTAAGGGATCTTATTACCCATCGGAAACTCTCTAAAACATTCAGGACACCATCAGGGTAATATAAGCTGGCAGTGGGCTTCCTCCAATCAACAGCTTCAGAGAGCAGAGCACAGAGTAGGGGGAGGAGGGTGGCACAGCCATGGTAGGTAGCAAAGCTCTCATAGAAACGTGTGGGGCAGAAACGGGTTATAATAACAACTTACAATCAGCTGTAGCCATTTCAAATACTGTAATAATATAATATAATAATATAATATGCCATTTAGCAGACGCTTTTATCCAAAGCGACTTACAGTCATGCGTGCATTTTTTGTGTATGGGTGGTCCCGGGGATCGAACCCACTACCTTGGCGTTACAAGCGCCGTGCTCTACCAGCTGAGCTACAGAGGACCACAGAGCTGTGCTTAAAAAATGCACAGGGCACTCCAAATCTATCCAGAATCTACAGTGTTGTAAGGCAAATAACAGGATACTATGCAAATGAAAGGAAGATAAGGTGTCTAACTCCCACATTACTAATCACAGCCACCATAGCCCCATCCACCCTCTAATCTAGGCCCACTGACTCCTACTGTTGCTACAGCAACCAGTCTATCAAACACTCCACAACTTTGTACCATTACCTGCTCTTCCTGTGATGTCAGATAGGTACAACCAGAGAACAAAGAATTAAGAGACAGTGGAGAGTAGAGCAGTATTATCTATGTAATGATGTAAAACATGTTTTTAGAACCACAAATGATATGCATTAGCTGAGCTATCTACATGGAAAATAGCATAATTAGGATATACTTTCACTGACTCAGAAAAACATATTTTGTTTGATGTAACCTAAAAGCATAGGAAACTAGTCACTGCAGCCAATACGTCAAACTTTCTAGACTCAAACAATTTGTCTATTTGTCTTCAGCATGGTCACTAAATTAGTTGGCACTAGCTTTGCTTTGGCATGGTGACGTCCCCTGTAGCAGTGGCTGTTTGTGAATTCAGCTGCCTTCCGCAGCCTTGGTAGAGTTAGCTCTCTGAGTGCCAGAAGGTAGCCTGAGGCTAACCCTGTGTATCCTCTCTGAGGGGATATGTGGAGATTTCTGGCAACGCTCTCAGAGCCTCAACTTCCCTGCCTTCGTTAAAGCCCTCTTTCCCTGCCTTCGTTAAAGCCCTCCATTCCCCCTTGGTTAGAGCCCTCTATTTCCCCCTAACAGGAATGATTCCCCTCAGCTCATTCTGAAGCAAGGGGTCTTATCCAGGAGCACTGACAGGGGCTCTGTCTGTCGCACCAGGGCTTTTCATCATCAGCCGGTTCAGGGTATCAAGTTAGCCTGCCCTGGTGTATTAGCCTGGGTACATTATTGAATTAGCCTTTCCTTTCAGCGTTTGTATAAGCTGTAGGCTACTGATGAATGCTAATCGCTAATCTCAGGGACTATGCTACAGCTGTACTGATGAATGCTAATCGCTAATCTCAGGGACTATGCTACAGCTGTACTGATGAATGCTAATCGCTAATCTCAGGGACTATGCTACAGCTGTACTGATGAATGCTAATCGCTAATCTCAGGGACTATGCTACAGCTGTACTGATGAATGCTAATCGCTAATCTCAGGGACTATGCTACAGCTGTACTGATGAATACCACTCTTCCCTCTAACCCCAGTTAACCCCAGTGATGAACGGCAGCCTCAGATAGGTTTTACTGAGAATAAAGCCCTGGCATACCTTGGCCGTTTCCCCTGAAAGAGTCCACTATACATATGGTAAATACTCACACAAGGGCGTCACCACTTCTGATGTGGAGCATTGAGGCTATGGGATGCCAGAGCGATGTATATGGAATATCTCAAATATACTCCAAGTACTGGAGTGCTGGACTCCAACCCTTTCATCTTTCTGGTAACCACAAAGGAGCAGGCACAACGGTGCACTTGAAGAATTGCTAAACAGTTTTCCTCAGGATCTAAATCAAACACCCAGTGGCACATCAGTCCCCATCAGCCTCAGTGTAACTATGTGACCAAAGTAACTGTAGTTTGGTCAGTATCTTACCAAGGCTGGTCTGGGAGTTGGGGTTAACATACTGGTCCTTACTCCACTCTACCATACACTTCAAGATGGACACCAGACACTCCAGGCCTTTCTTCCTCAGGGTCAACTCCTGGTGGGAACAGAGAAATGTTACATCAACGTTACGACAACTTTAGAGCAATATACATTTACCCAATACAGAGAAAGACAATTTCGAGTGGCCATTGGTCAGTCTTACCTGGAGTGGTGTTGTGCCGAGCTCGTGGCCTGCCCGGCCCTGTGCGATCTTCGACAGGTCATTCACCAGCCTCTCAAAGATATTAGCAGCATTCAAGTCACAATCATAATTCACATAGATATCCACCACACCCTGTGCATCTGAGGGAGGAGAGAGATGAGGGACAGTTAGTACTCGACTTGTAATAGGGATTGATGCGCTGCACCACAGATAGCATTTAAAATTCACACCAAACACTCACCTGCACATATTCTGGTTAGGGTCTGTATAACCATCCATTTATGGTCGTAGGAGCTTGTTGACGTCTCCAGAATATACAGGAAAATCTCCTTGAAGAACACCTGCGCATCGAAACAAACCATGGCAGTTAAAGCTGAGGGAAACAAACAAGGGTAGCAAGAAGAGCTCGGGATAAGAAAAGCTTCATGAATCTTCATTAACAGAACTATCCACTGTAACAAATCCATAAACACATACATCTCACTGTAAGCTGACTGCTCAACTATGAAATCAGAACATCTCAATGAACAACATCCGTCTCCAGAAAAGACTGTTGGCCACAAACAGTGACAAGCAGATTAAGTCATCAACTTCAGCATTAGGAAATATTACAGCCAGACCACTGTGGAAGTGGACTATAAATCAGAAGCAACAGCTAACAGGCAATACTGAAACTCTATCACACTGAGGCAGAACTACATTACTGTGCCCTGTGATGAACTTCATCTCCCATGAATCACCTGTGTCTGGAGCCTGCTGTATTGAGAAATGTCTGTATGTCAATATTTGAGAGGTATGACAGATTTACGACATTGGAAGCGGGAACAGGAGACATTGGCAAGTAGGGGGATAGGACAGCTATTCAGGAACAGAACAGTGACTCGACCTGCATATTGATAGGTTTTCAAGTAGGACAACAGAAGGTGAGGGGGACTAGATGGAGCGCAAGTGTGGAGGAATATGAAGGAATATAGGGTTTATGTGACTTTGGGACAGGAAGGGAAATCCTATTTGGAGATAATAGCTTGTCAGGTAGCTTGGTTTGCACAGACACTTTCTGAAACAAAAATAACGAAACCAGCAGCTAACCCTTTTGCGACAGAGGAACAACCAAAAGTCAGGTAGCTACCTCAATCTGCATCTTGAGGTGGGTCTTGAAGTGGGAGAGGAGGGTGAGGAAGATGGAGAGTGAAAGCTCGAAGACTTCAGGGACAGAGGAGACACCGTTCTTGGACAGTGCCACACACAGGTACTGCTTGATAGCGTTGATGAACATCTCATTGGTCTTGAAGATGGGCCCAGCGTTTTGCAGAATGGACAGGAGCAGCTGGAGGGACAACACCTTGGAGCGCAGCTCGTGGGACCTGGGAGGAGAGAGACAGGGGCATTGAGTCAAACTCAAGTGCAACAGGAGTTGGATTGCAGTGTTTCCCCTATATTCATAAATCTTTGCCGGCCTTTTATTGATTTTTTTCAGACACACTTTTAAAGGGATAGTGTGATATTTTGTCAATTAAGCACTTTTCTACTTACCCAGAGTCAGATGAACTCATGGATACCATTTTTATGTCTCTGAGTACAGTTTAAAGGAAGTTGGTAACTAGCGTAAGCGCAATGACTGGAAGTCTTTGGGAACAGCTAGCATGCCAAGAGTGCACAGCCGCCGCTTGCGCCACATCATCTTCCTAAAGTGCAGTGGCACGCATCAATACATATTTCAGATGGTGTCAACATAATTAAATTTTCATGCATTTGAGTAGAACATTCTTTTAAAAAGTCACCAGAAGTGAACTTCTCACAGTTGTTCTACAAAAACAAAATCACAGGGGGGCATGCCCCTGGACCCCCATAACCCTGATAAGTTATTCATTATGGTGATGATTACACAAGAGTACTGTGTGTGTGTGTGTGTGTGTGTGTGTGTGTGTGTGTGTGTACTGTGAATCACCATCTGACTCATCAGTTATTAGCAGCACTTCCTGATTGACCCACAACTGACTGAGGATTCTAATGGTCTGATGGCAGTCAGGGGCTCAGAGGATGTCCACCTAATGTCCTCCTATATACTAAGAGCCTGAGCTAGCTATTGTAGATGTGTGGGTGCTGGTGCTGTTTTACCTGTTCCAATAATACCAAAAATAGATAAACACAATTCATACAGAAACTATCTGTTACAGTGTAGAGAGGGCATCTACGTAATAGATCATTATAGTATATTGTCCATACTGCCTCAATCTAGTCTGACCTGTATTTCTGAACAGCTGTATGATGGAGAAGTAGGAACCCAACAGATTTTTTTGTAATCTTATTTGCTCTGACTGGCTTCCTCTCTGTAATGTTCCCCAGCCCTCCTCCACAGACAGACTGCTTTTAATGTAGCATAGAGAAATATGGAACTGCTTCTCTGACTCACAGAAATATGGCCTGATTCTCCCCAGGCGCATGCAGCGCAGGGGAAACCTGACAGAACTTTATCATTTCAGCTTGGCCTGGAAAGGGGAAGCAGGTACAAGCAAAATGCACATTTTCAGTACAATAACAAATCAACAATTTGAACAAAACATCCAATAACTGAGCCATGAACAACAAGACCGATAACCCAGGGTTTTGAATGTTTGAAATGTCTTTATATGCTAACCATAAATCATATATGTGTGTGTGTGGTGTTCATAGTCAGTGGGTTGAACTGAGCATGCCATGCAGCCTTGGGGTATGAAACCATTTCACTGTTGACTCACTTTAGGCCTTTTCACACTGCATTGTTCTTCACCCCTGGCTATTTTAGCCCCAGGTTAAGACTGGCCCTGGGCTAGCTTATCCTGTATTCACACAAGCATTTGTTAACCCTGGGCTAAGCTTTAGCCCTGGGCTGATGATTCACACTTGTATTGCAAAGCCCTGGGCTTACGGACAAACACACATGCGACCAGTGGTGGAAAAAATACTCAATTGTCATACTTGAGTAAAAGTAAAGATAACTTAATAGAAAATGACTCAAGTAAATTGAAAGTCACCCAGTAAAATACTACTTGAGTAAATGTCTAAAAGTATGTGATTTTAAATATACTTAAGTATCAAAAGTAAATGTCAAATCAAATCAAATGTTATTTGTCACATACATGTGTTTAGCATACAGTGGGGAAAAAAAGTATTTAGTCAGCCACCAATTGTGCAAGTTTTCCCACTTAAAAAGATGAGAGAGGCCTGTAATTTTCATCATAGGTACACGTCAACTATGACAGACAAAATGAGAAAAAAAAATCCAGAAAATCACATTGTAGGATTTTTAATGAATTTATTTGCAAATTATGGTGGAAAATAAGTATTTGGTCAATAACAAAAGTTTCTCAATACTTTGTTATATACCCTTTGTTGGCAATGACACAGGTCAAACGTTTTCTGTAAGTCTTCACAAGGTTGTCACACACTGTTGCTGGTATTTTGGCCCATTCCTCCATGCAGTGATGTTTTGGGGCTGTCGCTGGGCAACACGGACTTTCAACTCCCTCCAAAGATTTTCTATGGGGTTGAGATCTGGAGACTGGCTAGGCCACTCCAGGACCTTGAAATGCTTCTTACGAAGCCACTCCTTCGTTGCCCGGGCGGTGTGTTTGGGATCATTGTCATGATGAAAGACCCAGCCACGTTTCATCTTCAATGCCCTTGCTGATGGAAGGAGGTTTTCACTCAAAATCTCACGATACATGGCCCCATTCATTCTTTCCTTTACACGGATCAGTCGTCCTGGTCCCTTTGCAGAAAAACTGCCCCAAAGCATGATGTTTCCACCCCCATGCTTCACAGTAGGTATGGTGTTCTTTGGGTGCAACTCAGCATTCTTTGTCCTCCAAAAGTTCTATTTTGGTTTCATCTGACCATATGACATTCTCCCAATCCTCTTCTGGATCATCCAAATGCACTCTAGCAAACTTCAGACGGGCCTGGACATGTACTGGCTTAAGCAGGGGGACACGTCTGGCACTGCAGGATTTGAGTCCCTGGCGGCGTAGTGTGTTACTGATGGTAGGCTTTGTTACTTTGGTCCCAGCTCTCTGCAGGTCATTCACTAGGTCCCCCCGTGTGGTTCTGGGATTTTTGCTCACCGTTCTTGTGATCATTTTGACCCCACGGGGTGAGATCTTGCGTGGAGCCCCAGATCGAGGGAGATTATCAGTGGTCTTGTATGTCTTCCATTTCCTAATAATTGCTCCCACAGTTGATTTCTTCAAACCAAGCTGCTTACCTATTGCAGATTCAGTCTTGCCAGCCTGGTGCAGGTCTACAATTTTGTTTCTGGTGTCCTTTGACAGCTCTTTGGTCTTGGCCATAGTGGAGTTTGGAGTGTGACTGTTTGAAGTTGTGGACAGGTGTCTTTTATACTGATAACAAGTTCAAACAGGTGCCATTAATACAGGTAACAAGTGGAGGACAGAGGAGCCTCTTAAAGAAGAAGTTACAGGTCTGTGAGAGCCAGAAATCTTGCTTGTTTGTAGGTGACCAAATACTTATTTTCCACCATAATTTGCAAATAAATTCATTAAAAATCCTACAATGTGATTTTCTGGAATTTCTTTTCTCAATTTGTCTGTCATAGTTGACGTGTACCTATGATGAAAATTACAGGCCTCTCTCATATTTTTAAGTGGGAGAACTTGCACAATTGGTGGCTGACTAAATAATTTTTTCCCCCACTGTATTCAGCTGTCTATACAGAACAAGGTGAATATATTCAGGTATACATGATAAGGTGAATATATTCAGGTATACAGTACAAGGTGAATATATTCAGGTATACAGAACAAGGTGAATATATTTTTACCCCCACTATATATCCAATTATAAACCGGGTGGTTCAAGCCCTGAATGCTGATTGGCTGAAAGCTGTGGTATATCAGACCGTATACCATGGATATGACAAAAAATTACTTTTTACTGGTCTAACTACATTGGTAACCTGTTTATAATAGCAATAAGGCATCTGGGGTTTGTGGTATATGGCCAACATACCATGGCTGAGGGCTGTATCCAGGCACTCTGCATTGAGTCGTGCGTAAGAACAGCCCTTAGCCGTGGTTTATGTAAGGGATAATCAATGAGTGGCTATGCGTCCTATGGAAAATAATGAATGACGTGGAAGGTGTGTTCCACGACGCGCTAGCAGAGTGGAACTGACCTTCCACAGAGTTGCATTATTTTCCAGAGAACGCATAGAGCCCCGAGTTGCTTATCCCTTTTACACCATGGCTATAATTTAACACATTTGCCACTAGATATGTGTTCATTACCAGTAGAAATGTGTTCAACATCCACTGAAGTAGCTAGCAAGTTTACTAGATAGCTACAGTAGTTGCCATGGTAACCAAACAACCAGACTTGCTAGTTTAGCTAGCCAAACTATCAGTCCTATCTTGCCATTATAAAAATCGAATTCAACAATGCCCAAAATGTTTTCAATGCGACTTTTGCTTTCAAAAGAAGCTCAAGCATAGAACATGTAAGATTTAATTATAGCTATTGAATTCTACCGTGCAAATATACCATGTGTTATAGGGAAATAATGCACGCTCTAGAATGCCCTTCAAGCCAATCAGAAACAAGTATTCAACACTGCCATGGTATAATGGCCATATACCACACCTCCTCGGGCCTTATTGCTTAATTATACCATGGCATTGTTGAATACTTGTTTCTGATTGGCTTGAAGGGCATTCTAGAGCATGCATTATTTCCCTATAACGCACGGTATATTATGGTTTGGTTAGCTATACTAGCAAAGTTCATCTATTGTGGAACACACCTTCCACGCCATAGCAACCAATGTTCTTGCATGGATGAAAGTATTTTGTTTCTTTGTCAGGTTTTTGTCCTCAGATGGGAGGATGAAATAGTATAAATGTACTTATTAAAATACCGTGCAGAACGCATCACAGGCGGCAAAAGCAGATGCAAATTTAGTGAAAGTGCAGCTTTTGTGATTGGACAGAGAAAATTATATGCATTGTTCTGATGCAATAATTAATTTACCAATGTTTAGACAGCAAGCTATCTTAATTAGGGTTATCACCTGGGCCAGTCATGGAGTAAATCTCTGTGGATGAAAAGGCTTTCTGTCTGACAGACACTTAGCACAGCCCTGCCTGTGGTGACACCACCTTCCTCCCTGTCCCCCCTGACAACAGCCCGTGATAAACAGGGTTCCATTCTACCATTGTCTGGATGGAAAGTCTCTCTTGTGTTCTGAGATAGAATCCTGACAACACCATAGGAACAGAGTAGAGCGTTAGCCCACAACGCCCATTGGAAGAATGATAGAGATTGGAGACTGAAACAGTCAGAATTGAGTTACCATATAGAAACCAGATTCAGGAAATCCTGTTATGTAAACGCTGCTATCAGATTCAGCAAATCAGATGCCTCTTTGGCTGTAACAGGTTCAGCAAAACATATAGTAGAAAACCCAAATGTAATCTCCCTCGTAGGGAGGCAAAATCAGATTACATATATTTTTCTTTTAGTTTTCTGTTCAATAGAGGGAGAGGAAACAGGAAGGCTGGGAGGCTGTTTTACTTCAGGAGCACAAGAAGTGATCCAGAACCTATAATCAGCTGAGTGATGCTTCATCTAAACACACACCAACCAACCAACACAACACTCCCCACTAATAATAACTAGGCTACACTCCACAAGTCATGACTCAACTAAGGATCACACTCCAAAAATAAACCTGAAATAGCCTACTTACTAAGGCACTATAGCTACTGTTCCTCTATTCAATTATCTTAAACAAAACCATAATAAGCATCTCAATACAAGAAGTCATCTTACTTTGGGTCTGGGGGGCCATCTGACAGAGGCTTCATGGACAGCTTGCAGAGTGACCTAAACACTAGGAAGGCATCCTTCTGGAGAACATGGGAGAACTTAGCACCTGGTACTGGGCCTGTGGTCGCTCCCAACTCCTAACGTAGAAACACAAACAGATGGTCAACATATAAAACTTTTAATCAAGGCTCAAGAGTAAATTATCATTATTTTCCACTTGACACAAAGACTTTGAAATAAAATAGTTATTATTAGCAGATCTGTTCAACCTTGATCATGTAAGACTGTAATCATAGATAATTACATCCTGTGCTCAGACTTAGCTATAATAACCTAAGGAGCTGAAAGGAGAGGAGATGTTAGATGATCTATTAATCATGTTAGAATCAACCCCAGCAGACTGGCAGACAGACACCATTATCTGCAGTAGCACAGAGATTGAATAGCTCAATGCCCTCACATCATGGACTCTCTTTAAATCCTCATGTTACCAATGACTTTCCATTTTCCTTTTTACAAATTGATAAACATTAAATGCAATATAAAAGTTATTTAACAGTTTTATTCTTCTGCTAAAACAGACACAAATGACAGACACCCAGGCTAGCACAAAAACACTTTGTTGAGCGGAGTGTGTAGCCGTGTTGACAGTCAGGTCAGTCCCGCTTACCTGTGTATCATTAGAGGAGACAGACAGCCTGTCATCGGGCAGCGACAGAGTGAAGCTGGCAGAGATGGGCGTGCCGGGGATTCCGTTGGCGTGGATGTTCTCGCTGTCCCCCTCGTCTTCCACCACCTCTGTGACCTCCGTGATCGCTGTTGCCTTGGTGATGACCTCATTGATGACCTCAGCGGGTTCTGTGACCTCTGTGGGCAGCTCGGTCTCACCAGCGGTCTCCATGGCATCTGAACACATATGAGCAGGTTTCAGGCATTGCCCTTTGGAGTGGTTTAGTTGGCAGGGGTCAAAATAGCACTGAGACACACAACTCTCGCTCTCTCTAGGTAGGACAAAAAGCAAACGCATAGTAGTGCCTAGTCTCTAGACTTCAGCAAATTCTCATTCAAAAATGATTTGAATCAGAATTCCATGTACTAGAAACCCCCCATCCATAGAGTGACTTTTACCTCCAACGATGGTGTTGACGACCTCCTGTAGGATGCTCTGGATGATCTCCTGGGCTTGCTTCTCATAGTTAGGCTCCTCCCCCTCCTCTACTGCTTCCTGATCACGCTGAGTGGCACCTTGAACACAGGACAAGTAAAACTTTAGTCAAAGTCCATTCAAAAAGGACCTCAATACACTTAAAGAAATGTGGAAACAGTAAATTGGCAGATTGAGTAAAGAAAGTGTTTTCTCTGAGAGAGGCTGAGCATTAGCCTTTGATTTGTTGAAGTACTGTGAACATCAAAGTTGACAAGATAAACAGTAGTCACTGGCATCAGCTATCACATCTTCACTAAATAAATAGTGCGTGGGTGTGTGTGTGTGTGTTTGTGCTGAAAGCACTGAGTAATTTGCAAACAAAATTACTATTGAATCTTTGGATGCGTCTCTTCTCACTCTCGGTGCCAATCTTTTCTCTATCCTATCTCGCATTCAATCACTAATGAACGCATTTATTCAGGTTTTCTTTAAACTACTGCATTAGTGTCTAAAGAGAATGCCGTCTCATTAAATGCTTATTTAACAAAGACTAAATATTCTACCAATATTGAGTACACGAAAATGTCAAGGTTGAAGCTTTGTTACTGTCTAAAGCAGCCAAGATACCAGTCTAGAACAATACCCTGGATATGTCTATGATCAATACACTTACATCCACTATGGTAAAAAGTATTGAGTGAGAGTGAAAGTCTGTGTCTGTGTGAACTTGAACATGACTGCCTATATGAGTATGTTTGATTGTGTGTGAAACACTGTGTCCTTGTCTATCTGTATGTCCGCTCTAAGGTGAGGCTCACTCTGTGCTGAGGCTCTGGCCTGGTCTGCCTCTGTCTGGTGGTTCTCTGCTGTGCTGAACTCTGGGTCCGTGCTCTCATTAACCGCCCCCGGTTCCCCCTGCTCTGCCTGCTCCTCCTCCGTGGCCCCCTGGCCCTCCTGGGGGACCCCTGCCCCAGCCGTGCTGCCCTGAGGGGCCGGAGCAGGTGTAGGTGTGGAGGGGGTGGAGGTGGGCGTGGGTGTAGAGGGGGTGGTGGGGCCGTTGGCCTCCCGAGGAAGGCGCTTGGCTGCGGGATAGGTGTGCTGCTGGAGCTGGGGCGAGTCTGGTTCCTGTTCCTGTTGCTGGGTGACTGGGGAGTGCTGCCGGTGCTTCTCCCTCTCCATCTGCTTGGCCTCCTGGAGCTTTGGAGGAGAAGGGGAGGGGACACACACACACAGTAACACAGACACATCCAAAGACCAAGACAGAGTATAACCCAGCGTAGCCACATACAACCAAATTCACACACACACAGTCGCACACACAGAGAAATGTGTTAACACAATGTACACAAACTCATTATATGAAATACAAGCCTGAACAACTGCTCAAAGATTCCCTAAGGTTTTTCCGACCCCAAAAGCCAATGTCAGATCAGGAAGCAACAAATGGCAGCTTTGGAATCACAGTTTTCCAGGCAGAGACCGCAGAACACTGAGATTCTGCAAGGCTCTTTTAACATCAGGACTGTCTAAAATGTGTTTATGAATGAGCAGTCATACAGTAGGACATGCTGTCAAAACAAGTATGAGGCAAAGCATCCCTTCATGCTTATATAAACTGGGCTATTTCAGTGCAGAGAAGGAGGCAGAGTATTTTTGGTCTAAAATACGTTCATACTGCATGTTCTCCTGGTTGATGTATCACTGATGTTGATGTGTATGTGTACGCTCATTTGAACCTATAAATATACACATCATAAACATTTCTGTTATAGTATACAGTGGCACGAGAATAAATAATTCTAAGAAAATAATATATTTAACTGAAAAATCGTAATTCTTTCAGCCAAGCTATAGCAGCCCACTTCACAGTATCAATCAGGCTGCACGTGTAGGTGTGCTACAAAAATCATGTTAAAAGAACTGAAAAACTGAACCACACAATGATGAAAGCATGATTCAAAAGAAAAGACACAGGTTAGGAATTAAAGCAAATACCAATATGAATGTGAATGATACACGGTCTCTAACACCAGGCTATAGATATTTCCCCTATTCCTATTCACCCAACATTGGGGCATTTTTTAGGTTGTTAATGTAAGAGAATTTGTTCTCAACCGCTTTCCTGGCTAAATAAAGGTTAAATAAAGAGAGGACATTAGTAGAGGTTGTGGTGACATTGAGAAAATCCAGCCAGCCGTGTTTAGTATGCAGCTCACTGACCAACTCCAGGTGGGAGTGAGACTCCTCCTATCAGACATGGCAGAGTCTTGTAGAAGCATTATCTCTGTGGCAGCTAGACATTACACACACGCGCACACACACACACGCACGCACGCACGTACTATAATGATGACATTACATTTACCAATTCTATCAACTGTGTGTGTCTATTTCTTAATCAGGAGGGTTAAGCCCAAACACACACAATGCAAACAGAAAAGCAGTTGAAAGGCTCTGTCGACTGGTATGAACACACACACACACACACACAGACGAGTGAATGTAAAATGGAAATCGGTGTTGAAGAAAATATAATGATTAGCAAGCAACTGAACTGAAGCAACAGCAAGCACAGTCTAACCACAATGCAAGTCTGCCCCATAGCTGGAACAGAGGAAGAGAAAGAGATATAGATGGATGGATGGATGGAAGGAGCCGAATGAGCACACAGAGAAGAGTTCAGAGTTCAGATCAGGCAAGTCAAGGCAGTCCTGTAGGCTTTACCTGGCGGTCACGTTTTCTGGAGGCCAGAGACCAAGATATCTTGTGATTTGTAAGCTATGTATCCGTAGGGGAGGTGAGGTGGGGGGGGGGGGGGGGGGGGGGGGGGAGTGTCAATCGGAAAAGAAAAAGATGATATTAGAGCAAGCTTAACACCTTACTTAGACCTCTGGTCAGAAAGTGTATGTTATACTGTCATCAGCATGACGGAAGTTAGAAGTAGTCAGATTGGTTATGTAGCTGTCAAGCTAGCCATGTTTAGCCAAGCTGTAGCCTGACACATACAGGGAAAAAAGTATTGGATCCCCTGCTGATTTTGTATGTTTGCCCACTGACAAAGACATGATCAGTCTATAATTTTAATGGTAGGTTTATTTGAACAGTGAGAGACAGAATAACAACAACAAAATCCAGAAAAACGCATGTCACAAATGTTATAAATTGATTTGCATTTTAATGAGGGAAATACGTTTTTGACCCCTCTGCAAAACATGACTTAGTACTTGGTGGCAAAACCCTTGTTGGCAATCACAGAAGTCAGTGTCACGGATACAGCCGAGGCTGCCCCTCCTCGCTCGGGCAGGCTTCGGCGTTCGTCGTCACCGGAGTACTAGCTGCCACCAATCGATGTTTCTGTGTCTCACTAGTCCTGTCTTTATTATTCACACCTGTTACTAATTAGGCTTATTAGTTTCCCTATATCACCTCTGTTTTCCCTCCTGGGTGTGTGCGTGATTGTTCTTTGTTACGTCGTCTGTTGAGCTGTTGTTTTTGCTCTTCCCTGCGTGGAGGGTTTGCTATGGTTTACTTTGAGTCTAGTAAAGCCATTCATCTCTCAGTTCTGTGTCCTGCGCCTGATTCCGTTTCCCCACTTCACCCAGACACTGACAGTCAGACGTTTCGTGTAGTTGGCCACCAGGTTTGCACACATCTCAGGTGGGATTTTGTCCCACTCCTCTTTGCAGATCTTCTCCAAGTCATTATGGTTTCGAGGCTGACGTTTGGCAACTCGAACCTTCAGCTCCCTCCACAGATGTTCTATGGGATTAAGGTCTGGAGACTGGCTAGGCCACTCCAGGACCTTAATGTGCTTCTTCTTGAGCCACTCCTTTGTTGCCTTGGCCGTGTGTTTTGGGTCATTGTCATGCTGGAATACCCATCCACGACCCATTTTCAATGCCCTGGCTGAGGGAAGGAGGTTCTCACCCAAGATTTGACGGTACATGGCCCCGTCCATCGTCCCTTTGATGCGGTGAAGTTGTCCTGTCCCCTTAGCAGAAAAACACCCTCCATGTTTGACGGTGGGGATGGTGTTCTTGGGGTCAAGAGTTGATGCCAAAGAGCTCGATTTTGGTCTCATCTGACCACAACACTTTCACCCAGTTCTCCTCTGAATCATTCAGATGTTAATTGGCAAACTTCAGACGGCCTGTATATGTGCTTTCTTGAGCAGGGGGACCTTGCGGGCGCTGCAGGATTTCAGTCCTTCACGGTGTAGTGTGTTACCAATTGTTTTATTGGTGACTATGGTCCCAGCTGCCTTGAGATCATTGACAAGATCCTCCCGTGTAGTTCTGGGCTGATTCCTCACCGTTCTCATGATCATTGCAACTCCACGAGGTGAGATCTTGCATGGAGCCCCAGGCCGAGGGAGATTGACAGTTATTTTGTGTTTCTTCCATTTGCGAATAATCGCACCAACTGTTGTCACCTTCTCACCAAGCTGCTTGGCAATGGTCTTGTTGCCCATTCCAGCCTTGTGTAGGTCTACAATCTTGTCCCTTACATCCTTGGAGAGCTCTTTGGTCTTGGCCATGGTAGAGAGTTTGGAATCTGATTGATTGATTGCTTCTGTGGACAGGTGTCTTTTATACAGGTAACAAGCTGAGATTAGGAGCACTCCCTTTAAGAGTGTGCTCCTAATCTCAGCTCGTTACCTGTATAAAAGACACCTGGGAGACAGAAATCTTTCTGATTGAGCGGGGGTCAAATACTTATTTCCCTCATTAAAATGCAAATCAATTTATAACATTTTTGACATGCGTTTTTCTGGATTTTTTTGTTGTTATTCTGTCTCTCACTGTTCAAATAAACCTACCATTAAAATTATAGACTGATCATGTCTTTGTCAGTGGGCAAACTTACAAAATCAGCAGGGGATCCAATACTTTTTTCCCTCACTGTAAACCCTTACGCTTCCTTATTCATATGCTATGTCATGATTATGACCGCATAGCCCATGCTCTTTCTTTCTCTCTCTATTGTTGGGAAGGGCCGTAAGTAAACATTTCACTGTTAGTCTACACCTGTTGTTTACCAAGCATGTGACTAAACAAAAGTGCTCAAATAAAGAGTTACCCTCTCTTTCCCTCTATGTGTGTCTGTGTATCTTGCCTTTTCCCCTTAGTGCAGTATCTCTATCAGTCTTTAGCTCTGTTTCAATATCCACACTAATACACCACTTAAAATGAAGCCATCTATTGGGCATCATGCATTCTAAGTGGTATGTTAGTGTGGACACTGGGACCTTGGCGTGTGTCTCAGAGAGGGACTTACTGCCTGGTTCTCCATGCGGGCGAAGATGACGTTGAGCATCTGAGTGAGCGTGGCCTTAGCCGTGGTCTGGTTGATGAGGTTCTTGCTGGCTAGGTAGATGTTGTAGCAGGTCCTGACCGCCTGCAGCACCGTGCCCTCGTGGATCTCTATGTGCTGGGAGGTCACCGCCGTCAACAGGGCCTTGTGGGAGGGGGGGGCGGGAGTGAGGGAAAGAGGGAGGGAAGGAGAGAGAGAGAGAGAGAGAGAGAGAGAGAGAGAGAGAGAGAGAGAGAGAGAGAGAGAGAGAGGTCTATCATGGCTACTCATAGCATAAATTACTTGTGTGAAAGACACAATGAATAGATTAAAAACAGAGCTACAGTCCTCTGCATCTCACATCGCTGACCTCTTGACCATCCTCCTCCCAGTCACAGCTATACTGGGCCGAGCTGAGCCAAGATGCGCTGAGCTGAGCCAAACTGAGCTGACAGCAGATTAGGGGTAGAGGCTGAGATTTGGGCTTCTGTTTCACAGCGAGGAGTACTGTACTGTACTAGGAAATAACACTGCCCCTGCAAGACGATCAGGCCCTCTGACTCACAGCACTTACTGTCAGTCATCACTTCTAAGTAGTCTTAATATGACCCTTCTCACAGCAGGAAAATAATCCTAAAGCAACAGGAAATGTGAATTATTATGTGGATTGTAATTAATGGACATTTTTGTAGGGGTTGATACATTTTTCGTTAGGGCAAATCAAGTCTGAAACTTTAAATTGGAAATTACAAACTTTAGAATAATTTTTAACCTTGAATACACTACAATTTTCATTTCTCTGAGAAAATTATCTGTGACAACATAGTTATCAAATTAAGATAACAGATCTGTACACCTCCCTCAACCACTGCTAAGTGCACTTCTCGTCATCCATCACTACTTAGTGCACTAACCTCAGTGTACTTCTCTCATCCACTGCTTAGTGCACTTCCCTCAACCATTACCCTCCTGTCTACAGGTGACCGTAACACACACAGACAGACTCACTACACAGATATAACACTATTCTATATACTAAATAATCACCATGCGGGAAAGCACAGAAACCTACAATAGCAGGACACAGTATCCAAAACACACCCAGTTCCCAGCAGAGAGACCAAACAACAGCAGTCGCCAACCTTTATGATCTGTAGCTGCACCCCCTCGTCTGTCTGTGGTCCCTGGAAGCAGCCACAAATGGTCTCGATGATCCTGTCGATGAGCTTCTTGCCCGGGGCAGCGCTGTCTGGACCGTTGCCTGTCAGGTGGCCGTACGCTATCAGCTTCTACAAGACACACCCCAAACACACAGAGGAACACAGTCAGAAAAACACAACTCCTGAATTCCATTCAGAAACACCCCATATAAACATGAACTGTACTATGTATGAACTAAGCAAACAATAAAAAACATTATAGTTCAGTTCTGGGTCAAATTTAGATTTGAACTGAAATAAAAATGACTCCAGTTGAATCCAGCTGATATGATAGTTCTTCACCACGATGCCTCATTTGTTGTGACATATCATTAGAGAACCTCCAAAGGAAAGAAACATAGACATACAGTAGTAGACACACAGGGTTCACTTCCTGACCTCCTCTGTCACTGACCTGTAAACAGTCTAGGGATGTGACGACGATGCGGGGACATTTGGACTGACACGCCAACTCAAACGGCAGGAAGTACTTGTCGGCCTCGACGAAGCTGGTCTTTGATTTGATTGGCGGAAGAGCGCTAGAATCTGATTTGCTGTCTGGAGGCGGACTGGAGAAAAAAGATTATACAATCTAGTCTGTTCTCTACTCAAAACATGATAAAAACATAACCTAGATTTAAACCAGCCTTTATTCTGGCATTCACAGACTACTAACAATGTACTGTTAATGTCTTTATGCATGTACTGTATGCAGCTCAATTTAAAACACTGTAAGCGGCTAACTTTTACAAAGAAACACAACTGCAATTCTTCTACTTTAGGAAAAGTATGAGAGATCCATGATGTCATACACCTGATAATAATGCTCTCAGCTCCAACTCTGTTGACTGTCTTTACACTGTCAAAAATCTTTGTAGCCAAAATCGCATCCTTGTGACTGTTGCTAAAGAATAAAACCAAGGTAAAAGCCATATTTGTGAGTGCTGTCTGTCTTTATGGATCCTAGATCTAAACCAGGGGTCCTTGGCTGTGGGCTAAAATAATAATAAATAATAATATGCCATTTAGCAGACGCTTTTATCCAAAGCGACTTACAGTCATGCGTAAATATTATAGATTTAACCCAGGGGTCCTTGGCTGTGGGCTAAAATATTATAGATTTAACCCAGGGGTCCTTGGCTGTGGGCTAAAATATTATAGATTTAACCCAGGGGTCCTTGGCTGTGGGCTAAAATATTATAGATTTAACCCAGGGGTCCTTGGCTGTGGGCTAAAATATTATAGATTTAACCCAGGGGTCCTTGGCTGTGGGCTAAAATATTATAGATTTAACCCAGGGGTCCTTGGCTGTGGGCTAAAATATTATAGATTTAACCCAGGGGTCCTTGGCTGTGGGCTAAAATATTATAGATCTAAACCTGGGGTCATTGGCTGTGGGCTAAAATATTATAGATATAAACCAGGGGTCATTGGCTGTGGGTTAAAATATTATAGATCTAAACCTGGGGTCATTGGCTGTGGGCTAAAATATTATTCTGCAGAACAACCACACCCAGACTGCACTGAGCTCTGAGCCAAGGATGGAGGACTTGAGAGAGGAAGAGAGAGAAGGGAGAGAGGGGAGAGAGAGAAGGGAAGGGCTGTGTTTGTCTTGGCAGAGAGAAAGGGATGACTTCAGCTTCTTTAGAGGGATAACCTCGCAGAGTGCAGTGGGACACGGGAGAGAGAGCGGGAGAGAGAGAGAGTGGGAGAGAGAAAGAGAGCGAGAGAGAGAAAGAGAGCGGGAGAAAGAGAGAGAGAAAGAGAGCGAGAGAAAGAGAGAGAGAGAGAGAGAGAGAGAGAGAGAGAGAGAGAGAGAGAGAGAGAGAGAGAGAGAGAGAGAGCAGGAGAGAAAGAGAGAGAGAGAGAGAGAAAGCGGTGGATAAGGAAGAGAAGAGGAAGCATACAGAATTCTGAAAGATGATATGATAAGCATGATTGAGTATTTCAACCAATATGCCCTCAGTCGTTGTTTTGAATGGAAATGTCCATTCTACTTCTGCTAATTCTATGCATGGGTCTGAGTCATGAGTCACTGAGTCCCTCCCTGCTCTGCATGTGTTTTCCACTCTAATAAGCAACATACAGGATTAGCCTGATCATTTCATAATTTACATAAATATAGGTTTAGCCAGGCTTCTAGGGAGACTAAAGAATGCTAACAATATATTCAGCTAGCGTTGCTTTTGGGCTTAATAATTTTGACACTTTTTTTGGCGTAAAAAACCTTATCTGTTTTTTTCCCCTATTTCTGACCCAAGGGCAGGCAACTTCGATTAGTACAGTCTGCTATACTAACGCCTCCCCTACCCCCCTCCTCTCCTACCCCCCACCTAAATCCCCTCCACTGAGCAACTCTCTATACACACCCCAGCTAACTCCCCCACCACCCCAGCCTAACTCCCCTACCCACCCCCAGCCTACTCCTCACCCCTACCCACCCCCACCCTAACTCCCCTACCCCTACCCACCCCAGCCTACTCCCCTACCCACCCCAGCCTACTCCCCTACCCACCCCAGCCTAAGCTCCCCTACCCACCCCCCCAGCCTAACTCCCCTACCCACCCCCAGCCTACTACTCCCTACCCACCCCCAGCCTAACTCCCCTACCCACCCCCACCAACTCCCCTACCCACCCCCAGCCTAACTCCCCTACCCACCCCCAGCCTAACTCCCCTACCCACCCCCAGCCTAGCTCCCCTACCCACCCCCAGCCTACACTCCCCTACCCTACCCCCACCCTTTAACTCCCCTACCACACCCCCCAGCCTAACTCCCCTACCCCCCCCCGCCTAACTCCCCTCCACCCGCCTAACCCACCCACCCTGCACCTCCCTACCACCCCCCAGCCTAACTCCCCTACCCACCCCCAGCCTAACTCCCCTACCCACCCCCCCTAACTCCCTACCCACCCCCAGCCTAACTCCCCTACCCCCCCACCGACCTAACTCCCCTACCCCCCCCCCCACCTACTCCCCCCCACCCCCAGCCTAACTCCCCTACCCACCCCCAGCCTAACTCCCTACCCCCCCCCAGCCTAACTCCCCCCTCCCCCACCCCCAGCCTAACTCCCTACCCCCCCCAAACCCACCCCCCCACCCCTAACTCCCCCTACCCCACCCCCCGCCTAACTACTCCCTACCCACCCCCATCCTCACTCCCCTACCCACCCCCAGCCTAACTCCCCTACCCACCCCCAGCCTAACTCCCCTACCCACCCCCAGCCTAACTCCCCTAACCCACCCCCAGCCTAACTCCCCTACCCCCCCCCCTACCTACCCACCCCCAGCTAACCCCCTACCCACCCCCAGCCTAACTCCTCCACCCCACCTACCCCTACCCCCCCCAGCCAACTCCCCTACCCCCCCCCTAACTCCCCTACCCACCCCTCTCCCCTACCCACCCCCAGCCTAACTCCCTACCCACCCCCAGCCTAACTCCCCTACCCCCACCCCCCCCCCAGCCCTACTCCCCTACCCACACCCCCAGCCTCACTCCCCTACCCACCCCCAGCCTAACTCCCCTACCCACCCCCAGCCTAACCCCCTCCCCACCCCCAGCCAAACCTCCCCTACCCACCCCCACCTACCTCCCCTACCCCCCCCCCCCAGCCTAACTCCCCTACCCACCCCCAGCCTAACTCCCTACCCACCCCCAGCCTAACTCCCCTACCCCCCCCAGCCTACCTCCCCTACCCCACCCCCAGCCTAACTCCCCTACCCCCCACCCCCAGCCTAACTCCCCTAACTCCCCTACCCCCCCCAGCCTAATCCCCCTACCCCCCCCCACCCTAACTCCCCTACCCCACCCCCGCCTACCTCCCCTACCCACCCCCAGCCTAACCCCTACCCACCCCCAGTAACCCCCCACCCCCCCCTACCAACTACCCCCGTACCCCACACCCCAGCCTAACTCCCCTACCCACCCCCAGCCAACCCCCTACCCACCCCCACCTAACTCCCCTACCCCACCCCCACCTAACTCCCTACCCCACCCCCAGCCTACCTCCCCTACCCACCCCCAGCCACTCCCCACCCACCCCCCTCCAACTCCCCTACCCACCCCCCAGCCTAACTCCCCTACCCACCCCCAGCCTAACTCCCCTACCCACCCCCCAGCCTAACTCCCCTACCCCCCCCCAGCCAAACTCCCCTACCCCCCCCAAGCCTAACTCCCCTACCCACCCCCCAGCCTAACTCCCCTACCCACCCCCAGCCTAACTCCCCCTACCCACCCCCAGCCTAACTCCCCTACCCCACCCCCAGCCTAACTCCCCCTACCACCCCCAGCCTAAACTCCCCTACCACCCCCAGCCTAACTCCCCTACCCCACCCCCAGCCTAACTCCCCTCACCCACCCCCAGCCCTAACTCTCCTACCCCACCCCCAGCCTAACTCCCCTACCCCAGGGGTCTCATTTGGGCAGAGCTAGCCTAGCTGGCACACGGAACATGCTGATCCAGTTCTGCTGTGGGACTCTCGAGGGGGTACTCTTGGTATATTTCATTCCTCAGATCCAGTTACCGGGCAGAAAAGCTCCACAAACACACACGCAAATGCTCCCTCTCCCAGGTGAAAGCCAGCTTCTCTCTCTCTGTCTTTCCATTTCTCTCTCTCCCGCTCTAACACACACACACGCACACGCACGCACACGCACGCACACACACCCTCTCAGGCTAGAGCTGGGCACTAGGCAGGGGTCCAGGGGTTACTCCCGAGTGGCGCAGTGGTCTAAGGCACTGCATCGCAGTGCTAGCTGTGCCACTAGAGATCCTGGTTTGTATCCAGGCTCTGTCGTAGCCGGCCGCGACCGGGAGACCCATGGGGCGGCGCGCACAATTGGCCCAGCGTCGTCCAGGGTAGGGGAGGGATTTGGCCGGCAGGGGATGTAGCTCAGTTGGTAGAGCATGGCGTTTGCAACGCCAGGGTTGTGGGTTCGATAAAATAATGTATGCACTAACTGTAAGTCGCTCTGGATAAGAGCGTCTGCTAAATGACTAAAATGTAAAAATGTAAATGTCCAAGAGAAAAGCCATTAATGACAGGGAGAAGTAGACCAGGTGGAGAGACAAATAAAAACACACTGGAGGCCACACACACACACACACAACACACACACAAAACACACACACACACACAACACACACACAAAACACACACACACACAAAACACACTTCATACTGAACTCAAGGGCACGCTAAGGCGAGGTTTGATTTCAAAACAAGCGTTAAAATGTACAAGAACAGTACAGGCAGAGACATTCAGTAGGGTGAAAGGAAACAAAGAAATCACCTAAATTAACCAGGATGTATTCCTAAACAGAATTAAAACAAATGTACCTTAATTTTTCAGTCTCTTCCTTTATTTCTTCTGAAAAGAGAGAGAGAAAGAGAGGGAGGGAGAAACCGTTAGAAACATTGAGGAAACAGTCAAAGAGGAAAGTAAATTCTGCTGTATTATACTAAACTAATGACATCATTGGGAATAGCAGATAGCAGGCCCTGGCAGCAGTAAGGAGCCTGCTTATTAATGAATAGTGAGGTAGGGAGCCTGCTTATTAATGAATAGTGAGGTAGGGAGCCTCCTTATTAATGAATAGTGTGGTAGGGAGCCTTCTTATTAATGAATAGTGTGGTAGGGATCCTGCTTATTAATGAATAGTGTGGTAGGGAGCCTTCTTATTAATGAATAGTGTGGTAGGGAGCCTTCTTATTAATGAATAGTGCGGTAGGGAGCCTTCTTATTAATGAATAGTGCGGTAGGGAGCCTGCTTATTAATGAATAGTGAGGTAGGGAGCTTGCTTATTAATGAATAGTGAGGTAGGGAGCCTGCTTATTAATGAATAGTGTGGTAGGGAGCCTGCTTATTAATGAATAGTGTGGTAGGGATCCTGCTTATTAATGAATAGTGAGGTAGGGAGCCTTCTTATTAATGAATAGTGCATTTAGCTGATTATCTATCTTCTCTCTTGTCTGGGGAGTCAGAGTGAAGTGTTGATAAATTCTGTAAGTGGGACAGAACAGGATGTGGATAAGAACCTCTTAAGACGGCAGGTTGCCTTAGGGCGGCAGGTAGCCTAGCGGTTAAGAGCGTTGGGATACACACACTTACGTATGCATGCAAACAAACTCAATAAGAAGTTGGCCTACAATGAGTATGTGAGTGTGTTTTACAATACACACTCTTTTGTTTTGGTGTTAGGTAGACATTCCACACTGCAACACACCCAGTCATTGTGACAGTTCTAGAGGAGTCTGGGTGCTGTGCCTCTGTTCCGTGGCACAATTCACTCTGCTATGCACCGAGTGAATGTGGATTTTAGCTCTCTCAACACAGTGACTCAGGGGGAGTCTAGGAAGTGCTTAAAACATACAGCAACACTCGCCAGAGCCCTCCAAAGAATACTACCCTCGTATTATTAAAAAAAGGCCACTACAATAGTGACAGCTCAATTATTTATATTGCTACGAGGCACATTTTTGCGTCAAAATCAACTTGAGGGTCAAGTTAACGTGCAACACATAATTTAATCAGCTGTGGTTTCAGGACCACTTCACAGTCTAGTAGGAATAGAATAAAACACCAGCCGATAACAAGGGCTTTTTAATCACAGGCACAGTCATTAAACCCTTATTTCCTTCTACTCTATATACATTTACATTTACATTTTAGTCATTTAGCAGACGCTCTTATCCAGAGCGACTTACAGTTAGTGAATACATATTTTTTTTATACTGGCCCCCCGTGGGAATCGAACCCACAACCCTGGCATTGCAAACGCCATGCTCTATCAACTGAGCTACATCCCTGCCGGCCATTCCCTCCCCTACCCTAGACGACGCTGGGCCAATTGTGCGCCGCCCATGAGCCTCCCGGTCATACAGTGGGACATACAGTGCCTTCGGAAAGTATTCAGACCCCTCTTCAAACTGTCCTGCAGACGAGGATAGTCACCCCCCCAGCACTGAACATATCCAGCTCCCATAACTGCACTGCTCCTCCATCATTGAGAGGGATACATTCACAGAGCTGGAGAAAGACATGGTGGAGCTCAGACAGCTAGTCCACACAATCCAGACAGAACAGACCAGCACAACAACACCCCCCCAAACAAGACCCGGAGGGCAGACGGTGGAGATGGACGGCTGTCTGAGAGAGCAGGCCGCACTCTGGACTGAGCTGAGAGAACTTAAAGAGGCACACATGGCACTAAAAGAAGAGGTGAGAAAGCTGAGGTGTGACAGAGAGCAGGACACTCCCCCAGAGAAGCCAGCAGAACAGCCCACCTCAGACCCGGACCACAACATCAACACCACAATGGGACACACAACACAGGACCCACCAACCCAACAGACCCCACCCCCTCCTAACAGCCCCCCTGTCAGTTCCCCTGATAGCCCTCTTGACAACCCCCACACATCCACTGAGGACACACAAAAGCCAGAGATTGTGCTCCTCATTGACTCAAATGGCAAATACATTCAAGAGGATACACTTTTTCCCAAACACAAAGTGGCTAAACTCTGATGCCCAAACACTTGGAATGCCTTGGAGCTGTTGTCAGAGGACATACTAGGGTCACCCAGCCACATAATAATACACACAGGCACAAACGACCTGAGAGCACAGCAGGAAAGGGTGGCCAGAGCACTCAAGGGAATGATTGAAAAAGCTGCTTCTACTTTCCCCAACGCACAAGTGGTTATCTCCACCCTGCTACCTTGAAAATACTTTCACCCTGCTACCATACAGCGGGTAAACGCAGGTATTTCCCATGACTGTGCCTCAAAACCAAATGTTTACCTGGCCCATCACCCCACCCTGGACTTGAACAGCCTTTACGACCAGGTCCACCTATACAAGGCAGCAGTGCCCACCTTCGCCAGGACCCTAAAGGAGACATCACCCTCAACCATAGCCCCAACACCTCACACAGGAGCAACAGATCAACAGACACCCCGCCCAGATCAGCGGGACCCCTCCCCCGACCTACACATAGAGGACCCACGCCAAGAGGACCTACATCCAGACCATAGCACCCCCACCCTAACCAATCAATGCCCCCCCAAACCAACCATGTCCACACCCCATATATGCCCCCTCAGATCAGAAATATGCCCCTCCTGCCCACCCCATGCCCCCCACTCCCGCAAAGAGGGCCTCAACATGAAAGCCACACATATGCCCAGGCCGTGAGCAGGCAAACATGCCCAACCCCCACTCTTACACTAGCCCAAGCCAATGGCATGTACCAGATGCTGAGCAGGCTCTGCTCACACTTACTGGTCTGAGGCCAAACCACACGACTAACAACATTGGACACTTTATGGAACACAAAGCCTTCACCATCTCATCCTGGAATATCCAAGGCCTGAGGTCATCTTCCTTTGGCCTAAAGACTTCACCAAAGAAATTAGAAATACAGACATTGTCATCCTACAAGAAACATGGTATCAAGGAGATGGACCAACTGGTTGCCCTCTAGGTTACAGAGAGCTGGTAGTCCCATCCACCAAACTACCAGGTGTGAAACAGGGAAGGGACTCAGGGGGCATGCTAATATGGTATAGAGCAGACCTAGCTCACTCCATTAAATTAATCAAAAACAGGAACATTTGGCTAGAAATTCAAAAGGAAATGATCTCAACAGAGAAAAATGTCCTCCTGTGTGCTACCTACAGTGGGGAGAACAAGTATTTGATACACTGCCGATTTTGCAGGTTTTCCTACTTACAAAGCATGTAGAGGTCTGTAATTTTTATCATAGGTACACTTCAACTGTGAGAGACGGAATCTAAAACAAAAATCCAGAAACTCAAATTGTATGATTTTTCTGTAATTAATTTGCATTTTATTGCATGACATTGAAGATGGGTCGTGGCTGGGTCTTCCAGCATGACAATGACCCGAAACACACAGCCAGGGCAACTAAGGAGTGGCTCCGTAAGAAGCATCTCAAGGTCCTGGAGTGGCCTAGCCAGTCTCCAGACCTGAACCCAATAGAACATCTTTGGAGGGAGCTGAAAGTCCGTATTGCCCAGCGACAGCCCCGAAACCTGAAGGATCTGGAGAAGGTCTGTATTGAGGAGTGGGCCAAAATCCCTGCTGCAGTGTGTGCAAACCTGGTCAAGACCTACAGGAAACATATGATCTCTGTAATTACAAACAAAGGTTTCTGTACCAAATACTAAGTTCTGCTTTTCTGATGTATCAAATACTTATGTCATGCAATAAAATGCAAATTAATTACTTAAAAATCATACAATGTGATTTTCTGGATTTTTGTTTTAGATTCCGTCTCTCACAGTTGAAGTGTACCTATGATAAAAATTACAGACCTCTACATGCTTTGTAAGTAGGAAAACCTGCAAAATCGGCAGTGTATCAAATAGATGTTCTCCCCACTGTATTTCCCCCCACTAGAATCCCCATACTTTAATGAAGACAGCTTCTCCATCCTGGAGGGAGAAATCAATCATTTCCAGGCCCAGGCACTGTGGCGACCTAAATGCCAGAACTGGACAAGAACCTGATAGACTTAGCACACAGGGGGACAAACACCGACCTGGAGGTGACAGCATTCCCTCCCCCATATGCCCCCCTAGGCACAACTACGACAACATAACCAACAGAAACGGGTCACAACTCCTGCAGCTCTGTCGCACGCTGGGTATGTACATAGTCAATGGTAGGCTTCGAGGGGACTCCTACGGTAGGTACACCTATAGCTCATCTCTTGGCAGTAGTACTGTAGACTACTTTATCACTGACCTCAATCCAGAGTATCTCAGAGCATTCACAGTCAGCCCACTGACACCCCTATCAGATCACAGCAAAATCACAGTCTACTTGAACAGAGCAATACTCAATCATGAGGCATCAAAGCCAAAGGAACTGAATAATATAAAGAAATGCTATAGATGGAAGGAAAGTAGTTTGGAAACCTACCAAAAAACTATTAGGCAACAACAAAGTCAATCCCTTTTAGACAACTTCCTGGACAAAATGTTTCACTGTAATAGTGAATGTGTAAACTTGGCAGTAGAAAACCTAAACAGTATATTTGACCTCTCAGCCTCCCTATCAAATCAAAACATTTCAAGCAGACAACCTAAGAAAATTAACAACTATCACGTCTCCTCCCGTTGCTCCCCTCCGGCGCACTGATTCGCCGGTCTACTGAGCCACCGGTCTGAGCGCACCACCTCGGCAACACCGGAATGGAAACCCAACGCACCCTAATCACCTCCAGCGTACCTGCACTTCATCATCTCATCACCACCCCTATTTAGCCCTGGACTGTTCTGGATGATGTTGTGTGTGATTGTTAAGCTTCGTGTCGTTTACTCTATCTTTGTCATTGTTAA